CGCACCCCGCCTGAACTCGCATCACTTACCTCCGGCATAACGGCTGTAGCGCGACATCCTCTCGCGAACGAAAAAAAAACAACTGTCGCTGAGCGCATGCGGGTTGCAGTCCTTATATAGATTGCGCCGTTATTGCGCAGGCGCACTATAATTGTGAGACCGTCGCGGACTGGCGAGGCGGGAAACAGAGTTTTTGTTTCCATAGTAACGTTAGGCTGAAAAAGGGGGAGGAGGAGGAGATGGGAAATAGGACGTGACGTCATTTCGAGCTACGTTAGGACCCCGCAAAGAGGCGTGTTTAAAATATCGCCTGTTTTAAAGTTTAAAGCGGTTGAGACGTACGGCTGCTATCTATTTGTCAGTAGTTTAGTATGTATTTTAAAAATCGTTTGAGAATCATTCGAGATTTTAGCAGACTGTGAAGCGTTAGGGAAAGCAAACATTGATTTTTTTTCCAAATTCTTTTACTTCTCTAATATTTATCAGAGCCCTTGCCAATGTTTAATGATTTGTTATCAGTGCTATCTTAGTTGATCTCAAAAACAACACAACGCCGGAAAAAGTTAATACCTGGATGGGCGATCACTAAAAACTCCTAAAACCGTGGGCTAAACTCGGAAGAGTTGCAGGTAGAAAGCCAATCAAAGCTACTTCCTCCTCTCGTCAAAACAATATCCATGAAGCCGCCAAAGCTCCAGGTTCCAGCGATGGCAAACGTCACTTCTACCTTTAAAAATAATTGTCTTTTAGAAGCAGCTTAAAACCAACTAACAGAGCCTTCACAGTCATCCAAAAATAAGACAGCCGATATATAACGAGGCCCAGAAGACAAATCTTTTAAAAGCTAAATCCTAAAAATCCGGAGCAGAAAGTGAGGAACTAGAAAGTAATCATCAGAAACGGAATCGCCTCTTGAATTAAATTCCTAAGTGTGTCCTGAAACAGATGACCAAAAGAAACGTGAAGTCCGCCGTGAACCAGTTTCTCAAAACTTTTTTTTATTTTTAATCGTAGCGATTCTACGAGACTAACTTGCTAAAGGACTTCTTCCATTCCAAAGGTCTCCAACCTCGGCAACTTTAAGCCTGGAGGACTTCAACTCCCAGAATTCCCCAGCCAGCAAAGCTCGGTGAGCTTTGCTGGCTGGGGAATTCTGGGAGTTGAAGTCCTCCAGGCTTAAAGTTGCCAAGGTTGGAGACCCCTGTTCCATTCAGTTCCATCCTTTTTGAAAGACTCCTCGGAAAGATCCGGCTCCGGAAGGGGAATAAAGAGCCCTCTGAACGCAGTGCCTTCTGGGTCCCAGAAAGGACGGGCGGGCTGGAGTGAGGCGGCTTCGCGCTATCTTTAAAGGCTTTTCTGATTCAGTGGTGGCTGCTGAAGCTGGAGATCCGGATTGTAATTTATTTCCAAGTATGCGTACGAGCGCTACCTCTACTTAAATGACAAGAATAGCTGCAATCTTGCAGTCCAGCTTTTTATTTTTTTAATTAACGCCCTGTATTTTTATGGATTATTTGACTATGCAGTAAGAACCGCGAGGGATTAAACGGGTCGTTCGTAAAGTGCGGATTTTTCCAGGACCTGCAATTAATGTACGTATTGGGGTTCATACTTTTAAGAACATTGCGGAGTTCAATATTAACGAACAGTAGTCTTGTGGAAAGATGATTCGAGGGAGTGATATTGCAACCTCATCTTCATTACGGAAGAGGGATTAGCAAAAAGATTTCGATGATACGGATTGCTATAATCATAATTATTGTTATGACTTATTATGGTATGAATGTGTGTTGTCGCCGGGGTGGGAGTGTTGGGGTTATTACTTAAACATATTTGAAACGAAACAAACAAACAAAAAAAAGCCAGCAAGGAAAGTGATTGGATTTCTAAATGAAAAAAGGAATGGAAGGAATTCGCATATAGAAATTGAATTAATTCTTTGCATCTGGCTTAACTATAGAAGATGTAGGACAAATTTCTGAGCCTGTGTTGATTTTCTCAGGGAACTGGAGTTGCTAAAGCAAAGTAACCTACCAAGCTAAGATACAGCATTCTAAGACATTTGGAAAGATTGTACAGTAAGAAATCAACCGAGCAGACATTCCCCCAAAATTGTGATTATCATAACAGCAGACCTCTGCTGGAAGGTAGGCAGTGTGACAGTAATTTTTAAAAAGGGCTCCAGGAGATCCTGGAAATAATAGGCTGGTAAAGATAAGTTAGTAGAAAGAGTAATCAAAGGAAAGATAACTAAGCAATAGAGGAGTAAGCCTCTTTAAGGAAAAGTCAGCATGGATTCTGCAAAAATAAATCCTGCTTCACCATCCTAATGATTTTTTTTTTGAAGCACACAGGCAGATAGAGGTGAACTTTGTAACATTGCACATCTGAATTTTCAAAAAGTCTTTGACAATAAATCTGTAGACTTGTAAGACATATTGGTGCTTTGTGTTTAAGAAAGGACTGGGTAAGTTTTTGAAATGCTGCTCTATCAAGAGCTATTAAATCTTGAGATTCAATGTTACAACTGGACTTCAGGTAGTGTGCATTCCAACTATCAATGTCAGGGGAACAATAGCTAGGGAGGGATATAACTGCTGCTTGTGAGCATTTCATAGGCAGCTATTAGCCACTCTGATAAACAATCCTGGACTAATATGAACTTTGACTTTGATCCAACAGGGCCATTTTATTCTTAATCATGGAAACAGGCAAAATTTCCTAATACAGAGGCAGAGGATATTACTGGCAATGATGTTTTCTTTTCTCATTAGATTCAATAAAAAGGAAATATGACTGAATGGCAGAGGAAAACTCCTTTGGAATGGCTGGCCTTTGTAGATAAAGAAGTCAAAGTACTGGCTGCCAAGAAACACCAATACAAAGGATGGGTTTTAACAGTTGATCCAGTTTCCGCCAAGTACGTATCAGTGAATTCTATATAGAAATACTTTTTCTGAGAAAGAACGTGTGTTAAGGGAGAATGAAGGGGATGAATGATTATGAAAAACAAATTGGGAGATTGTACGCCTAAACAGATGAAATGAAAACAAATGAAATCTTAATGCAAACATATTAAATATTTTTGTCTGGATAGACATTTGAAAATAGGTAATTTCAGGAAAAAGTGGAAAAAGTGGTTACAGGTAATAAACTAAATAAAATATATATATATATATTATATATATATTATATATATATATATATATATATATATATATGCAAAAAATTAAAATCTCGGGTGTTTTCCCGCGTCATTATAAATAAGTTGGTTAAAATATTTAAAATCCTGGTTAAAATCCCAGCTTAAAATCTTCTAAAATTCTTTAGAATTTTAGATCTTCTAAAAATCTTTTAGAAGATTTTAAGCTGGGATTTTAAATATTTTAACCAACTTATTTATAATGACGCGGGAAAACACCCGAGATTTTAATTTTTTGCATATGCACACCCGCGAAAACGTAAATTTGGTATAAAATGGTTTGTCGTGAATGTGACTGCTTGAGGGCTCCTGGATGATTTGCACAATATTAGCATTTGGTATAGTAATAAAGTATATGTAAAGTGGATGCTAATTGACCTTACATCTTAGCATGATGTCAATTGAAAATGTAAATCTGATGAAAAAGCATTCTACCAAACATGCAAGATACATTATGTATATGATGTGTTCAAAATATTTTATGAGTCTTAACTGGAGAGCGCTCACTTATTCTGGCTTTTGATTTTGATCTAGTTATTACAAACTTCAAGGATTGCTAATGCAACTCAAGCCCTAGGTTTATTGGATAACTTGTGGGACAGCTTGTAATGCCAATTTCAGTTTTTTTCATTGGGAAAACAACAGTTTCATTCTGATTTAAACTTTTTTGATACATCAGTATCAAAAGACTGATAGAAAGGCCTAGTATGCATGAAAAAGCCAACTAGCAATCTGATCACTTAACATATCCTCATATGAACCTTTTATTCTTGACAGTATTCTTCTGGCAAATCCCCTTGAAAATGGAAAAGTGTCTGTTTTAGTTGTTTTAGGACATGCTGTGCAGGATATTGAAATAGTGACTGAAAGAGATGACGAAATCAAAGAAAAACTTGCACATCTCTTCATGGCAGGAAAAAGTCAAACTTATAATCAAGAAGAGCTGGACAGAAAGAAAAACTCCTTGAAGAACTGGTTGGAAAAAAACCACATCCCTGTAAAAGAACAAGGAGAATCACAAACAATGCTGTGCGTGGCAGGTGTATTAACCATTGACCCACCATATGGACCAGAAGATTGCAATAGCTCTAATGAAATAATTTTGTGTAGAGTTCAAGGATTGATTCAAAGCTATCTTGCACTTCAGCAGTGAGGCATATAGATTTCATTACACTTAAAACACTTAGCAGTTTAATAAAAAGTAGGAATATTTAATGGTTGATGATCAGCCATTGTTTCCAAATTTTGTTTTGTATACAAATAGCAATTGTAGTTGTGCTAGTTATATTTTTATATAAAAATCATTTGACTTTTTTCCCAAGTTCCTGCAAAGTTGATTTGTTTATATAAAATAAAGTTAAAAATAAATCACATTCTTATTCTCTCCAGTCTCTTAATTTGAAACTAAAGTATTAACTTTTCTGAGGAACATGGGGCAGTAGTATAAGCAATAAAACATTTTGGACAGTTTTTCTTCCTTTGAATATGCAGCCGATTTCACAATTGAAAGTACTGTATAGTAAATTCTAGAAGTTACCTATACTTTTCTGCACATACAGGACTGCATATACAAAAGGATTGTACCAAGTCCTTTTAAGATTTTGAAAATGGGCATTTTTCTATGCAAGACCTTTTCAGTTGCAATAGTTTTTTTTTCCAATAGAGGTATAAAACGTATCTTTTCATCATCGTTTTTGCAAAACTTCCCTCCCTCTCACTATATCCATAAATCAAACCATAATGCTTTGAGCAGTTTCAAACAGAATATAGTTTTCCTAAAAAGAAAGAATGACATCTATTTGTTTTGAGAATTCCTTTATTTATTACAATATTTATAAAACGTATAGCCTATATCATCAGGCTCTAATACTGTATTATTTGAGAATAAGTAATGAGAGCTTAGGCTCTCAAAATAATTTTATGCTACAATTATTCCATAATTTGTATCGCCATATTTGAATTCTAGCAGCCAACACTGATTATCTTGACAAAATGAAAACAGATGTAAATTTACTGGACAGGATTCATTTCTGGAAGCAGAGCAACCATGTAGAAACTATGACTAATATGTTTCCTATACTGCCTTTTTGGGAAGGGGAAGGGGATAAATTAATATCCTGCCAGATTACCATAGAGTTAATCCTTTATTGGACACAAAAAGGGAGTGGTGAATCATTAAACGTTAAATGTATGTGTGATCTGTTCTTGAATGATTTTCTGAATGCTTACCTCTTGTTCCTTGCTTTGCAAAAGGAAAAAAAAGTAAGTTTTATTTTAAATATGCAAGCTTCTTATGTAAACTTGTATAAATTTCTATCATGATTATAAAATTGTTTATTTTGAGCTACTTAAAAAACAGGCTTTTAAATTGGATATTTAGGCTTACAAATAGCAATACAGGAGCCAGTGCTACATTTCATTATTCTCTCATTAACATTTGAAAAAAGCAATCTGCAGTAGCTAATACTATTGTGTGGTCACGAGTTTTACAATCAAGCTGATAATCTGAGATCCGCGAGGGCAAGTACACAGATCCATGCTGGGATTTTTAATTTTTTCCTGGAGTAACTGGTCAAGTTCATTGCGAAGTTCTTTCACTAGTTCTGCTACCTGAAATCACAAATATGCACTTAAAATAAAGTTCTTCTGGATGAGGTTTCTAATAACAGCCACTCAAAACACTTCCTAAGCACAGTATGAAGGTCATAGCCATTCCGTTGCTGCCTCTGACTCTGGAAGCTCTATTCACTATTTTCTCTTTCTGAATAGCTATACCATACATTGCATCAGCAAATATTGAATACCTCCTTATCCAAATTTCTTATGTGGCAGCAGCAGGGCCGGATTTTCCTATAGGTTAACTAGGCTTCAGCCTAGGGCCTCAAGATCAAGAGGGGCCTACATTCAAATTGTTAGCAAAATTAAAATTACACTTTCACTATAGGTGAAAGGGCCTCATAAGTGGAATAGCCTAGGGCAGTGATGGTTAACCTTTTTGCCGTCAAGTGCCAAAAGCGGAGGGGAAATGGGGGTGTCGCGTGTGCGCGTGCCCACATCCATAATTCAATGCGCCCCACCCCACACACATGCACACGTGACCCCTGCTTTTGACACGTGATGGCACGGTGGGCCCGGTATGCCCGTTTTTCACCCTCCCCAGGCTCCAGAGGCTTTCTTGGAACCTGGGGCAGGCGAAAACGGCCTTCCCCACACCCCCGGAGGCCGGAAATGACCTATTTCCAAACTTCCAGTGGGCCTAGAAGGCCTGAAAATTAGCTGGCCAGTGTGTGCATGTGCACTGGAGCTGATCTAGGGCAACACTTGCGTGCCCACAGATCTGGCTCCACGTGCCACCGCGTGCCATAGGTTCGCCATCACGGGCCTAGGGCCTCTTTACATCGAAATCCGGCCCTGGGCAGCAGGATAGCGATTCAAGACACCTTATTTGATTCTTAGTGTGCTTGTAACTTTATACCTTTGTACAAGTCCCACTGAGTAGAGCATTGCTTGAAACTATGATATACATTGTCCTTACATGTATCTCAATGTTCCAAATTAGGATAGAAAGAAAATGAAATACAAAACAGACATGGAAAGTTACGTATATCAAGCTCACAGTGCTTAGGTTTTCTATACATTAACTTGGAATTTTTATGCTGTGAATAGAAATGAAATAAACACACTGATTAGTCGAGTATTTTTCTTTATGTTGTTTACAGGGTTAATTTATCCACTTCCACAAGTTGATTGCATCATACAATCAAAATATTTAAGACCACAAGAAATGTGTTCATTTTCAAAAAGGTGAAAGGCTGTTTCTCACACCTGCAACATGCTTTCCTTCTCTTTAAATGGGAGGAAAGTATGTCACTTGGGAAATGGCTGACCCTACAGTTCTTTTTGCCTCACCTCAGAAATGAGGCAGCAAAGCTGTTGCCCTTGTATGAGGTAAAGAACAGCAGTTCTGGGAGTGGAGGGCAAAAAAGGTGGAAAGAGATTTTACCTGCCACCTTCTGGCCCCTCACTGAAGATCATCTACGCCTATGCAGAAATATCTGGAATGTGTGAAGCAATAATAGCAACATGGCTGAAGAAGGCAGCCATGCTGGCCATCTACAGCAGCAGTAGCTGTTGCTGCTGCTGCTGACACAGGTAGAAAGGCCAGGTGCAGTAGGCTGGAAGGAAGGGTAGGGATTATCATAATGGAGCAGAAGTTACCAAGAGGAATAGGCTTCAGGTGAAATCCATTCCTCAATGTCACTGGTCCCATGAAACCCTACCCCTCCTGTCCAAATGCCTCTGGATGCTGGGCAAAGCTTGGTTCTCTCTGGCAGCCAAAGCACACATCACTACAAAAGCCTGAAATCCACAACCAAATGTGAGAGGGTAATGTTGTAGCAGGCCTTTCTCAGGCCTCTCTTTCATGTGACACTTTAAAAACACACCTCTACTGGCCTGCTTATTTTATCCAGCCTAAGCCTATCTCTGAAACAGGCTGGCTGTAAGATGGTAAATCTGTCATAAGGATAGGCATATTTCATTGATGATGATTACAATTGATCTTACTGTACAATATTGTAATTGCATCATTACTGCCTGAGACATATACATAGTACCATATTGGTCTGTATTGTACCAGTGAACTACAGAGCAGTGGTTCTCAAGCAATCTATATTCATGAAGGAGGCGTTCTTAAATCACCTATCCCACTTTGAGGCCATAGAGTCATAAGAAAGAAAGTGGTCCTTTTCAATTTAGCACATTTTAATTAGTTCATTGTATTGTAAGTACCTTCTAGAACAAATAGTTTCCCATTTCAGCCTCAGAGACCAAATAGTCTAGAAGGTGATTTTCCTTAAGGAACAGAACCTGTTCCCTATATTGATAAAGTTGTACAAGGCACTATCATCCCGTACTGCAAATGAAAGTACATGTAGTCCTTGATTTACAACCATACATTTAGTGAATGTCCAAAGTTATAATAGAGCTGGAAAAAAAAAGACTTATGAGCAGTTCTCACATTTATTAGTGATACATGGTCACATTATCAAAATTCAGATGTTTGGCAACTGGCATGTATTTCTCACAGTCCCGGGATCATGTGACTATCATCTGTAACCTTCCCAGCCAGCCCTCAACAAGCAAAATCCATAAGAGAAACCAAATTTGCTTAATGACTGCATGATTCACTTAAGAACTGCAGTGATTTGTTTAGCAATTGTGGCAAAAAGGTTGTAAACTCGGGCAAAACTCACTTAACAGCTCTCCTGCTTATCAATGGAAATTTTGGGTTGAATTGTGATTGTGAGTCATGGACTCACAGATTTGGAGAACAGCTTGAAGAAACATAATGGATCTGCTGAGTTGCTTAATTCTTTACCTGACGTGAGGTTGCAACAAAGTTAATCCACCCATCATCCAAGGAAACAACATATGCTCCATTCTGGAGCTGCATGTTCACACGGCCTCCCCCGAACAAGATCAGTGGATATACCGACACCATGCTGCACTCTCGAATAAAAACCCGGCTGGTTTTTACCATTTCATGGTATACCAAGTAGGGGCTATTGAACCGCTTTGTCTGAAATATAGAATTCCAAAGAATACTTATGAGACATTTAAAACAGGAACAACTCTGATTCTATAAATATCACCTGTATCATACTATATAACTGCCACTTATATTTTGCTAACAAATTTTTTTTCTGTGCCAGCATAAAGTGGCCAGACCTGAAGAGGACATGGAGATGATATTTAAATCTCTAGGCAGGCTTCATATGAATGTAGTAAGCTGGAGAGAAAGACATATCCTTGTATTGGTGTCTATAGAAACATTCAATAACTTTCAACAAGGCTTATAGCATATAAGCAGGCAACTATTGCCTAATGTTGTGCATGCTATTCCTTCCACAAATAAATCTATATATGCTAGAATAAGTTTGAGTAGAATACTTTACTAACTGGAGGTTAGAAATTACCTGATAATTTACAGAGGATGGATGAATGTGAACATAACCCAGGTTTTTTGTAGCAAACATCAGTGTTTCAGGTTTTGGATTATTTTTAGCAGCTCCTTTAATAACCTGATATTTCTTTTCTGGTACTTTTACCTAAAATGGTAAATAAAAATTGTGAACATGACTATCCACAAACAATCCCCATTTATTTCAACAGAGATGGATAGAAAGAGACGTTTCTACTAAACTGCTTTCCTCTAACAAATCAACATGGTGATATTGTGGAATTTAAAAGGAAAGAAAGAAAAAAATACATGAAGGGACTACCTCATTCCTCAAATCTATTCCAAACTTAGCAGTAGCACATATTACAAAGCGTGTATTTCAAAGCCATAGCCTGGATGCTTTTGTTTGACAAGATAACTGGAGCGTCATGGCTGTAAGCATGATCTGTGTATGTAAAATCAGTACAAATCCAGCCCAACCCTGAAGTCACTAACTGGTGTTTGGAAAGCACATTTTTTTAAGCACCAGCTTTCATTTCTAACACCATGTACTTCCAGGAGTTACCATTTTTTCCTTTTGCCCAAGGAATCCTTATGGTGTCAGTAACCACTTCTGTTGTTGTTGCTACAGTACTTTTCTTTTCTCTGAGCCTCAGCCAAGCCTTCTAAACCCAAACTTGCCTGGAACCAAGCAGCTATAAACACAGACTGGTCTTGCAAAAAGTATCATTCACCAACTATCTAATGTCCCCATCTCAAACCAATGCAATAAAACACCAGAAATTTTGCAATGCTAGTTTCTGCAACTATGTTTTAATTCCTAGTTTCGGACTTTGGGATAGGATGGAGAAAAAGAGCGCTGCTGAGTATTAAAAGCATAGTTAAGAGATCAGTAACACTATGCCTATAGTGGAGGATTGGAGCACTGGTTCCAGGCAGAAAGGAATCATGAAAATATCTGAAAAGAATGAGTTGCCAAGTAGCAAAGAAGCTAGATTCACTGGAAAGTTAGAAGCCAATCTGACATGAAGAAGAAAAATTGGCATTCAGCTTTGTTTTCTTTACTGACAACATATATAAACACGAATAGAAGATATATATAAAATAAAATAATGAATTATCCTGAAAGCTAAGAGATCAAAATGGTTTTAATGCTTAAGGAAGTTCTTGCATAAATTCCCCCCTTAAAATATCATGGTATTGCAATCAATTCTATTTCACAAACCAGAGTCAGGGAAATAGATATTAATACAAGCAATTGATGATTACTTTTATAGGCTTACCTGAACCACATTTGGGTACATAGCAGCACATAATATGGCTGATATCAACTTGACATTCTCTGCATTTGCATTTGCCTGTGACATAAATGACAAGTTAAAGAATATCAAGACTATCCCTTATGCAGGCATTGGCAAAGAACTGTGTAGCATGCAGCAATTGGCAAGAAATCCTGAATATTTCTGGTGTCAGGTTTCTTTTAAAAGAGATTTCTCAATCTTATGTTCAAGAAATACATTTGAAAATAAGGTAATGCATATCATCAAAAGTTTTAGGATGAAGGGGAAATATTTGGGCCTTTATCTTCCGATCCTGCCTTAAATATACCCTATTTCCCTGAAAATAAGACATCCCCTGATAATAAGCCCAATCAGGCTTTTGAGCGCATGCACTAAAATAAGCCTCGCCTGAAAATAAGCCCTCCCCGAAAATATTTAAACACAGAGCTGGAAATCAGGTAAGGCGGCAAGAGAAGCCCCATCTTGCTCCACGTGCCCCAAAATAATAAGACCTCCCTGAAAATAAGGCCAAGCGCTTATTTTGGGATTCAAAAAAATATAAGACAGGGTCTTATTTTCAGGGAAACATGGTATTTATTTATTTATTTTATTTCGAATTTCTATACCGCATCTTCTCCCAAGGGACTCAGGGCAGTGTACAGCCAGATAAAAACATGTGGCAGCCTTATGCTGAATCAGACCACGAGTCAATGAAATATTTTGTGACCTGCAGTAGGTTTTTAAAAGTTCTCTATTGCTTCTTTCTTTTCTACTGGACTGCAATTGTGACTTTCTGAACACAAAGTCCCAGGTGCAATCTGCTGTTGCATGTACTCTATATACCTTCCCTAGAAATCAGATATTATAAATGCTATTTCCATTTTAGAGCTTTTAAAACACACACACCAAAAACCACAAAGAACAAATAATTAAAATTTCTAATTTTAAATTTAAAGACTAATTTTAAAAATATCCAAGTGGAAGGATCAGAATATTTATTTCTACTCCCTTGAAATATATCAATAGATTTTCATAGAGACTATTTTTAAATGAGCTGTTTTCCTATTAGATACATCTTGGGATGAGTTATCTACAAATGAATTCTAATATTATAATTTTTGTTTTTGAATTTTCTGTGTTGTTTTTTTTATGCTGTCCATAATACGTCAGCATCCACTTTTAAAGTAACTAAGTAGCTTTAATAAAGTTAGAATTACAATAAAGTTAGAATTACAATGAAAATATTATTTATATTAAAACTTATGGTTTATATATAGTTAAACATTAGTGATGTATTATCACTAATGTTTAACTATATATAAACCGTAAGTTTTGTCTTTAAATACTCTGCTTCATCAACCCACTAGTTGGATTAAACTGACAAAGTTCACACCTGACTGAGAGAATTTTCCAGCATGTCAATCATAGTTATATGGGAATTAGGTAAAATATAACCATGTTTATACATGGCTGAGGAAGAATGGAAATATGGAAAGGTGGATAGAAAAGTTAACAGATTAAAAAACTTCCCCTCCAGTTACCTCTTCTCCTGTAGCTTCAAGAACACCATCCCCTCTTTGAGAAAATCTCTCTTCTATGTCTTTGGCTCGGAGTCCCTCTTTTACAAATCCAATATCAGACAATAGTTCAGTAAACTGCCTTTTTAAACGTGCCATTTCCTAAAAACAATATATGGGAAAAACTTTGAATAACGAATAGGATTTTAAAATAGCATTCTAAAGAGCAACTAGTAGTTTATTAATGTTACTCTTTTATTCCCATTTGGCATATACCAATGTATGAACTGGTGATGTACAGCAGTAGATCAGCCCCAGAAGACTGTAGAATATGTCTGGCCCGTGCATGCCTTCATTTTGTTCTCTCTGACCATAATAAAGCTGATACAGAGAATATTGTGGTTGGAAGATAGGGGGGAAATATATCTTATCTGGTATAAAAATACATAAATATATAATGAATATATATATATAGATATTGGGTTCTCAGTATGCTAATTCCCAACTACAACCATATGTGATTAAATTATTTGATTTCTGAATTATTTCTAGCAAAATAATTAGTATGTATCTTAATGATCTTCAACAGTTTCCTAAAAGTTCCTCAATGTGAAGATCAATAAGAGCAACCAAAATGTATTACTTGTATTACAGGTAGTCCTTAAGGTATCACTGATTGCTTAGCGACCATTTGAAGTTAGGACAGACCTACCTTGGATTTACTTAAGACCTGGATTTGATGTTTGCTGGTCAGCTCCCCCACAATGTGGTCATGTGACTGAACTTCAGGCACCTGGCAACACAGCTGCATTTATGACTATTTGCAGTGTTCTGTGTCACATGATTGCATTTTAGGACAGTTTTGCCGAAAACTGGCACCTACTTCTGGTTTCAAAACTGCACACATAGTGAACCAGTGGTTCGCTAAATGACTATGGAATTTGCTAAACGACCACAGATTTGCTTAACTTGTGTGGTGATTTGCTTAACAACCTTCGCAAAAAAGGTAATAAAATCAGGTCAGTCACATGACTGACCCTTGTTATGACAGTCACAAATTACAACCATGATGGACAGGCTCATTGACAGCTATAAGTCAAGAACTACCTGTATTTCATCTTGCTTCTTCCCAGCACCTTCCTTTACAACATGCACCACATTGGGTGCTTTTTGAGAATATAGTCTCAAATGGGGCAACAATGTGGTATAAAGGAGGAGGATAATCAGCTGTATGAATTCAATATGACTTCTACATAAATGCAAATTATCTACCTTTTTTCCCCCTGGAACCATGAGGTCTACCATCCAGAGCAGAGGCATAATGAAATGAAACAGAATAATAGCATAAACAAACCTGATCTAAAATCGTTTAGGTTATATATAAGGGAAAAACATATGGTACAAGAAGTAGGTCCTGGAACAAATTATTTTACAAGCTCAGCAAAACACTTTTAAAGATAAAGATACAAAATAAAAATATTAAGTTACCTGAAGAACATTTTCTGATAAAAAGTTTTCTCTGCAAAATGTGAAACTTGCTTGAAAGCTCACTTTTGAAGACTCGCGCCATCTCTAAAGAGTGGAAATTTATAATATCACCTTACTATTTAATCTCCAAAGTTTGAAATGATCTTTAACATGATCTTCAAAGTGAACTTTTTAACTCTTACCTTATATGCTTGGATGAGAGCCAGATAATCACTGTTTCCTATAGAAAACTCAAGCTTTTTCTTGAATGCCTCCTCTCTTTTGTCCCATGGAGAAATCTTTATAATTAATAAAAATGTTCCATTACATAGCTAATATATTTAAAGTTAAAATTCAGTCTCAGCTGTATAGTATAGTATTTATCTAAATTCTAAGTATACATAGGAATGAATTACAGAACTTCTCAAAATTGGTGGTGTTACAACCCTGTAAAATAATAGGTTAATTGACTGCCTCCCTTATTAATAAAACTGTCAGGCTATACTTGATCTCAGCCAAAGATCAAGTAGCACAGTCCTAAAACCTCTCTTTAGCAGCCTACAGATGGATATGGGAATGGTTCTGTGGAGTTGGTCTCTATACAGGGACTCTCAGAAGATGTTCATCTACGGGTAGTCCTCATTTAATGATCACTTGTTCAGCTATTTTTCGAAGTTGCAACACTGCTGAATGAGTGATACCTATAACCAGTACTCAAAGTTCCAACTATCACACCAACCCCTGTGCCCATGAGATCACAATCGGGTGCTTGACAACTGCCTCATTCAGGTTGGAATATCCCATGACCATGTGATATCACATCATCACATTGATCATGTCACATTGTTTCATCTAGCAACAGAAATTGTGGTCCCAATTACTGCTGTCAAGCAAAAAGTACCTATATTAAAGATGAAATTTGAAAGAACTATACTGGCAGAGAGAACCATACTAATCTCTCAATTTTTTAAATTTGACCAGGACTTTCATATATCCTTTTAGGTTGCCCTATTATGGACCTCTATTTGCTCTATTTATTTCCACCTATGACTAAAGTTTAGTGTTAATACTGGTGATCACCACTGATATTTGTATTATTGTTATATTCATTTCATTGTTAGGTGAAACAATGAAATGAATGACTAAATTTTTAGTCTTATCAATAAATTTAGGTGTATATACAGTTGCAAGAAAAAGTATGTGAACCCCATGGCAACATCTAATGTTTGTGTAGTATTATTTTAAGCAGACTGTGTTTTTCTATTGTTGTGACTTAGATGAAGTTCAGAGCACATTTTATGATCAATTCATGCAAAACTCCACGTAATCCCAAGGGGTTCACATACTTTTTCTTGCAACTGTACTATATATCTATGTACCAGTGTGTTCTGTCCTAAATGAGGTAATAAAGATTTGTTATTGTCAGACTGCATTTTGCCAGGGCTTTCCAAATAAATAGGCAACTCAAGCACAGCACCTCTTCTATTTCTTGTAAGAGAATACAATCCATCATGACAAAAGGCAAGCATGAACTGTCCACAGGTGCACAGGCAGAGTGCCAGGACCTAGTGTGATGCCTCCCAGGAACAAAACCAGAAAGAGCCACCCTTGAAAGAGGGAGAAAGTAAAACTAAGCACAAACACCTTAATCTTAGCTGAGTTTGTGCTTGGGAGCATGTTGAGTCTGGAACTGCTGCTGTAAATGCATAGACTGTTGAAGGATGATGCCAACACCTACTTCCAGTACCAGTGGCCCAGTGACAGCTGCCCATGTCCGGGTAAAGGGGAACCAGGAATTGTCATCTCTTGAAATTGTAACAACCCATAGTCTGGGAATCCTAGATTATCATAATAATACTTACAAAAGGTGATTTGTGAGCTCTGCTTGCTGCTATTGTTAGTGCAGGATCCAGACAGCGAAAGATGGTGCCAAGAAGCATTAATTTTCCAATTCTCACATCAACAGGCAAAGAGGCCAAATGATGCCCCAAGGGAGTAAGCTTTTCCTCTGATGTTAAGGCTCCTATATCTTGCAACCGGTTCTTTGATGCATTTATAGATTCAGCTGTTGGTGGCTCAATAAGTTGTGAGAACACTAATTGAAGTTTATGTATGGAAAACATTTCCAAAATCTTTATTCTGGAAAAAAAATATTGTTCAGCCAAAGAAAATTACCAACTTCTGCTATATGGTGCATGCAAAGAAGTACAGAATTGTGGAGAGTACAAAAATGGCCCTGATGCAGATATACAAGATCCATACACAAGATCTTGTGAAATATCTTTTATATCCATATGAGACAGGAAATGTTTGGAAGTGGCTCAGACACATTCTTAACTCACTGAACTATAAGAAGGAGAGAAGGTATAGCGCAATCAGACTTGCAAACTTCTGTTATTATAGCTAATCTGAATAAAAATAGTTTTAGCTTTCCTGTGGAGTTGATTTCTTAGTCTGCTCTACCTAATAGGCTGGCAAGAATCCAGCATACAATTTCTCTAGTGATTTTCAATGTTGTTACCTTGTTCAAGGTTCAAAGGGTACAGTATACAATACTTATTTCTGAGTGCTTCTTGTATTTGAGATATTTTTTTCCATTTTCCAATGTTCCAGCATCTAAACCTACCTACATAGGTTAAAAATCCTATTACCTGTGATTTTATTATCCATGGTTATATGTTGAAATGTTGCTTTCACAGATAACAAGATCCTGGCCACAGCAGGAGGTGGGTGAAGGTGTTTTTACTATCTCTTTAAGTTACTTACTTCCTAATCTGCTCCTGTCCACCAAGCTGTACCCTCAATTTAGCTCCAGGTTTCTGCAAACCTAATTTTAGACACACACACACACACACACACACACACACACACACACGTCCCCCAAAATAAGTGATTTCCAGGAACAGTTCCCTTTTTCAGATAAAATTGATGCAGTTAAAATACTAAAGGTATCTGGCAGACATAGCTACAGTATTTGGGGAAAAGACTTTAGCTGGGGGCGGGGGAAGAGTGTTGCCTTTAATAATCCCATCAATACAGCAATTGCCAAACTAACTAATTTCCAAACTATTTTTTCCAGAAACAGATGAACAGGGTTAGGGTGAGCTGGTTACCAAGGACCTGAAATGGAGTCATGTGATCCTAGGGTTGTGTGGAGCCATTGGAACTGCAGAACCGTGCTGTAAGTAGGTTTTAGCTTTTGGGGGTGGGGGATCTGTTGTAACTTTGAATGGTCGCTGAGCAAGGACTACCTGTACTGAACACTGGGTAAAGTGGATAGATTATTGAAACCTTCCCCTTTTTCTACCACTTTCTCAACATCAGCTTCAACTTTTTCTCATTAAATGGAACATGCTACTCTGAACCCCTTGCCTTTCTTGCAATGAACTGAGTACTGTAATGAGCTAAATTGTCATAAATTACTGCTTTTTATTGTCTGCTAGCTTCAAATAACTCATTGTGCTATATTGCCACAAATTGCCAATTGCTTATTATCTGATTGCTCTTATAAATCTTATTATTTTATTATTGATTGGTTATTAATTATATCATTTGGGACACGGGAATGAATAAACCTGTTTAATGACCTATAGTATTAACATCCCAACAAAATTAGGGACTGCAGGAGACTAATATCTAATATACAAGTATTATGCGAGCTCAGAAAAAGTACTTTATTGCTCCTTTAAATGATTTCTGCTGAGTACACTGGGAGTACCCTATGTAGTTGTGAGGAATATTTGGATCTAAATATTACACATCTCTAGATAGAGGCTGCTTACTGCTCAATCCATTTAATTGGAAATCTCAGGCACTGAACTTGTGGCACTTGCATAGAAACAAGTGCTACCTAAAGAGAAGATGCTTCTCTCAGTTTAGAGTTAGAAATGTTTTGAAACTGCTACTTACAGTAAGCTAATCAGGAAAAATCAGGCAATTAGTTTGCACATTTCCCAAGAAGCAAGCCATTAAGGGAAAGAAAATAGGAGGAAAGGAAGTGAGAACAGAAGAAGATTTGTATTTACAAGATGAACCACATAATGTGTTGAAGTTTAGTTGGAAAACATGCAATATTTGCAAAAGAATCATTTACCGGAGACAAAGCTGTTCCAAAGGCACTCGTTGTATCTCTGGCAAGTGGTGCTTTAAAAGATGATGATTATAATGATGGCTACTGAAAAGATGAAAGCAAACTCCAGAAGCTACACGACCTGCTCGTCCTTTTCTTTGCAAGGCATTGGCTTTGGACACATATGAGTCCTCCAGGCTTTCCATGCCCTTGCTTGGATCATACCTACCAGAGGGAAAATACAGAACTGTGTTTGCAGTATTAAAATACATGATAGGTCATGAACTAGGAAGTATAACACTGAGAAAGTATGATGCTTCTAGGTAACTGTTTAAATTTTCTGCTAAACTATGGTTTTAGTCACAGTTTATGAAATAAATCATAAAGGTTCACCATAACACAATCAGCCGAAATTAAATTACATGATAGCACACTGTGAAATATGGCCACCAGTTTACAGTCTTTATCCTTATTCCCAAACATTTTTTTAAATCACTGCTTGAAGATATACAGTCTAAAGTTGATCAATGCTAGAAAAAAAACCACCCTTATAAAACACGGTAGGCAATCAATTCACATGTTACCAGTTTCTCTTTTTAAATGTGCAAAAGAAAAATAGGAAAAATCTATGCCAAAGAAAGAAAATCAAATAAAAATGTTAAATCTTACCTAAATAGGAATAAGACATTAAAATATGGTTAAAGAGTAAACAAATAAAAAAGGAGAGAAATAGGAAAGCAAGAAAACAAAACCTTATTGAATTTGATAGATCCATTGATAGCAATAGCAATAGCGCTTAGATTTATACCACTTCACAGTGCTATACAGCCCGGTCTAAGTAGTTTACAGTGTCAGCTTATTGCCCCCAACAATCTGGATCCTCATTTTACCGACCTTGGAAGAATGGGAGGCTGAGTCAACCTTGAGCCTGGTGAGATTCAAACTGCCGAACTGCTGGCAGCTGGCAGTCAGCAGAATTAGCCTGCAGTGCTGCATTCTAACCACTTCGCCACCATGGCTCACATTAATATATGTAAGCAACTAAACCATATTAGGTACTTCTGCACATGGGTCAAAATTGTGGAGCAAATTACAGACCTGTAAGGGACATTATGCGGCTCTACAATCTCTCCTTGCAGTACTCAAGGTTGTGTGCTTCCTGCCTCCTTTACTCGATACAGAATGTAACAGGCATCGCAGAATTACCTTACCTTGATTTTAGTAATCAAAATCAAAATCCTGTTTCTCAAAACCAGAATGTGGATACAGGTAATCCTTGCTTACCAACTGCCCTATTTAGTGATTGTTTGAAATTACAGTGTAAAAAAGGCTTTGCAACCACTCCTTAAATTTATAGCCATCACAGCATCCCACAATCAGTTGATCACAATTTGCATACATCCTACCCATCTTAAATTTTACTTATGGATCTAAAAGCAATCTGTTAAAGTTCTAAAGGATTTTCATTTGACCAGCAAATTACCACTGGGACTTTTTTTTGAAGAGGTCAAATAATAACTTTTTTAAAAATTCAGAGAAGATTTGTAAGATTGGCTTGTTTGGTCAGGGTGAAGAGAAGAAAATACTTGCTTAAGAGATGAGCAATTGGGAGAAGGGAGATTGTTTTATTTAGAGATAGTGATAAATTATTAAAATTGTTTTTACTTGTTGCGATGAAGGGGAATGTTATTTCTTTTTTCTTTCTCTTTCCCTTTTTTCTTTCTTTTTTTTGTCCCCCCTTTTGTAGTCTGCATTGAGTTTTATCCTTTGCATGAATAATTTGTAAAAAAAAATGATTTGGAAAAAAAAAACTAAGCGAGGACTACAAACAGGTCATTTCTATATGGTTTATTGTTCTGAGTTGTTAGCCATTACTTCCCCCAGATTTTTTAAATACCTTTTTTCTTTCATTTTTCCTGAATCAATCACATAGACCACATCATTGATGGTTATGGAGGTTTCTGCGATGTTTGTAGATATGATGATCTTGGTGGTGCCAAGAGGAGGCTGAAAGAATACAAACTGCTGATCTTCACTGGAAAGAGTTGAATGGAGACGATACACAACACAGCTAAAAGATTAGAGAACAGGTTTGAAAGATTTTTTTGGCTGAGCATTTGTTCCATCTCCATATTACTTTTTCATATAATCAGAATTGGGGAATTTTAATTCTTCTTTGGAATACATGTCTGATTTTTTTTTGACGCTAAATAAGCCACATCAGTACAATTGCCCATATACTGGTAAGATGCCCTTATTATATATGTAGTGTATACTATAATAAAAAATACAATATTTTCAAAATTGCACTTCCAGCAACAATATGTAGGCTTGCGGAAAGTTCAATGCTCTCCTTTAGAAATAAAATGGGAAAACATTTATTTGTTTGTTTGTTTGTTTGTTTGTTTAATCTATCTATCTATCTATCTATCTATCTATCTATCTATCTATCTATCTTCTGGAAAACGTGAAGGGACTGGGTGGTGTACAATAAAGTAATGTTATATGAATAGAGAGGTTGAACCCACTAGATTTAGTCAAAGAGCACTGTATACACACAAAATATTCCAGTTTGTTGCCCTCCTGTTATTTTCAGCTAAGTCGCAACTACCCTGATCACTGATTAAGACAACTGGGACCGATGAAAATTGAAGTCTAGATCAGAGAACAACTATCATTTTTTAATCTCCATCTCAAATAACAGCCTCTAAGGGATTATCACTAATAAAAATTATGGGTCTGTTTGGTGAGAGACCACTTTTTGTGATTGCCTTCTTTCTTTCAAGGCCAGTTCCAGTTTATGCTAAGGTTTAGTGGATAGTTGATGGAGGGAGAGCTCTAGTCTTTGCCCCTGCTTTACAGCGTACTGCAGGGCTCTATTATCTCCTCCCTCTTTTTCAACATCTACAAGAAACAGCTGAAATCAGCCAGTAACAAAGGAAAATACTTTTGTATTACTGGTATGCTAGTTATACTCAGTTGCACATCTCTGCCTGGATCAGAATTGGGGGTACTCTTGGATTCATATGACCTTTGCACAAATCCATCTTGTGCACACTCCTGCATCAGGAGGCCCTACTCAGTGTCACTCATGCCTTTGCTACGTGCTGTTTGGAACATTGTAATGCATGTAACACAACTGCAGATGCTTTGGACTCTTCACCCAAGTAACAGTTTTGCTCCATGTACAGGCTCCTAAAGCTGTTTTCTGAATAATTCTGACTGTCACCTATAAAGTTCTACATTGCACAGGGGCGTGTTATTTGTGAGACACCTATTTTTAACTGTTTTTGCTCATTTGAACTGATGGGGTGGGCTTGTTCCAGGTCCCTCCTTTAAGCAATGTAATTTATTGGGATCCAGGAGATCTGCCTTCTCTGTTGCAATACCTGCCCAGGTTTGATTTTAATATGGTTGAGGTACTGAAAGATTAGCTAATATACATTTATCAAGTTATTGGTTCAATAACCAGATTACAATAGTTTGGAAGTTCCAATACTTCAAAAGTTTGACTGAGAAGTATAGAATATTAGTAAACAAGCATTCGCTGTGGCTATATTCCACTGGAAGAAATGTTATATAACTTTTAAATAAAATACCTAAATTCATTGACAAGATTAAAATATCAGTTTCAATTTTTTTCTTTTAAAAGTAGATTAAAAAGACAATACCGTTTGTTGTGCCGGTTGTTAAACATGGCATTAGACTGCAACCGATTATATAATGCTTGAATTTCTGCTAAGCCTGGCAAAAATATCAGTACTGCACCTAAACATGAATTAAAATAATAAAATGAGTAGAAGCTATTCTGTTTCCTTCACTGCCATATTTATCTTTGTTTTTCTCAGTTCCTCTCTGCTGCTTCATATTTTACATTTTCAATGCAGAAAGTACTTCCATTTGGAAAACACATTTACAACAAGTGTCTTTTATATTATTGAGGGTAACAGGCAGGGTGGACAGTGTCAAAATGGAGGGATGTTGGGATGATCAAATTTCTGCACTTTTTGAATGTATGTCATTTACTGCCTCTGCAGATGTCCATAATGTATGTTGCTTCATGCACAGCAATGAGTACCTATCCATAAATGCAGTTTTCCTATATGAAATGTTCTCTCTGAATCTTTTTAAAATGATTGAAAGTAATGTTTAAAGTGTCTATTTAAAACATTTTTTCTGGAGAGTACTACAATCTACAGTATGAGTTCTTTACTTGTTAAGTCTTGGCTACTTAGTTTCATTTTGTTTTATCTGTGTTGTACTATATATAGCTGTTTTAAAGTGTTATTTGTATTACCATTTTTATTCATTATACCAGGGACATTCTATTATATTGTTTATAGATATATTAAAAACCAATTGCAGTTGGTGATAAATAAATAACTAAACATGCAAGGCTGACACTGAAAGAGCAGTTAGCATGATCAAGAAGTCCTTGATTTGGATCTAGAGAGAACATTTAAGGCCTCAATCTATTATAATGGAGGCCAGTTCCATTGGGTCTTTACACCTAAATACCCCTTTTGTATTCTTTGTGTTATTTGCATGAGAGTTTTTAACTTAGTAAGGTTTAAAGATTTATGGTCTAGTGTGTTGATTCAGAGCATTTATTTTCATGCTTGGATGATGCTACAGTTATTCTTGTATTGCACTGTCATGGCCTCCAAGCTACTCTAATAAGTGCCCCTCCTCACTTAGTGCTCGAGTCATCCTATAAAAGTAGTCCCTGATTTGTGACCGCAATTGGGACCAGAACTTCTTTCATAAAGTGAGTGTTAAGTGAGTTGTGCTCAATTTTACAACCTTTTTTTTTTTGCCACAGTTGTTAAGTGGGTGTTAAGTGGTTAAGTAAACCATATGGTCGTTAAATTAATCTAGCTTCCCCCACTAACTTTGCTTGTTGGTAGCCCCTTTGGAAGGTTACAATGATGATCACATGACCCCAGGATACTGCAACTGTTGTAATGGTATATTTTTTGCCAAGTGCCTGAATTTTGTTCATGTCACTTATTTAAATTCAGACAACCCTCCAGCTAATGTTTTAGTTTACTTGAAATATATGGTGTTTTTACAAGTACTCTTTCACTCCCTTATTTTCTTGTGCATAACCTTTAATAATTCACTTAAAACAAAACACAATTATTTAAAAATCTTATTAGCCCTTTTGAAGAAGGAACCTGGGAAACATAAAAATAATTGAGTTGTATATGAAAAAGAAGGGAAGAGAAAGGAACAAGAAAAATAGTCTTGTTTCTTTAAATTGTTGCCTGAATGCAATGCTTCTTTAAAAATGTAACTCCTCATCACAATAGTAAGAATGTCCTATTTCTATGAAATTGTACACTTTGGAACTATTCAGTTTAATCAATTTGTAAAACAGATCACAGTTTTAAACTGTTTTTAAGTTACCTGGTGGATATAAATGTTTGCCACTGACAATCCATTCCAATAAGGCTTCAATTAATTCAAAATTTACTTTGTCTAAATCCATGTTTGCCATGGTTTTTAATACTGATCTGCTAACACCTACAAAAAAAAAAAAAAAAAGGAAATATGCATAAGCAGAGAAAGAAATAATTCCAGCAGTAAAATGTAGTAAATTTAGTTAGTAAAAATGCAAACCACCAAGATATATAAAAATTGACAAGAGAAATAGGTGTTTCCTATGTAGCACTTTCTCTGACTTTCTCTGACTTTTAAAGTGTTGCATACATTTTCAACCTTTCAAAAAGAAAATTTTGTTCTTCATAGATCCTTTGCATTGTCCTGAAATCTCATACAACAGACATTTCAATTAGGGCATTAGATTATTATTTATTAAAATAAATAAAATCCTGAATTTCCACTTGGACATACAATAGCTTTATTAGTAATAGTTAACCTGAATCACTCTGTTGAGCTACATATACAGTTCTACTATCCCTTATAGCAGACTGCTTGTTCACTGACTTATTTATCCCTAGTATACATTTCATTCAGTACCATGTCCTCTCTATCCATTGTGCAAGCATGAATTTACTGAATTTAAAAGTTTGAATTTTGTTTCCTGCCCAGAAAGTATTGAAAAATAAATTAAGATGGACACATTTCCCAGCTGCTCACCACCAATCATATTCCAAGGGAAATCATTTTAACTATTATTCAGTATTCCTATTTGCATAGCTGAAATTCACATGTCAATTCTTATTTTGTGAAAGATAATGGCCAGGATCTGGAATCTCTCTGTTGAAAATTCCAAAAAAACTGAAAAATTTGGCACAAATAAGACCTAGTACAGATAGATATGCAAGAGGCTTTAGTCTTACAATTTGTGCATACAACTTTCAGGTAATAAACCAAATATTTTTCATATACAAAGAATTCCTAGAACCAATGGGTATACCAGGTTCACCAGAAGGATACCTTTGTAACGTATCAGCAATTGTTGGAAAGTCAGTGTTTGATCTGGGACTGAATCCTGGACTGCAATTTTCACCAAATCAGTGTGCTTTAGAGTCTCTTCCACTTCTTCTGCAGCAGTCCGTGCGTGTCTTCCTGTCTTGTGTGCAGTTGGTTTTACTCTGCGCATATATGGACTGCCATGCTCCAAAACATACCTGAATTCATGCCGAGAGAGATCACGGGGAAAAAAAAGCAAATACTTATCCTTGGTTTTCAAATAGTTAACAGTTTTTCCAGAAGCTTATACTTTATGAATGGTGCTGTGTAATTAAGATAAACTAGATTGGGATGTCAAACTCAATTTCATTGAGGGCCACATCAGGGTTGTGTTTGATCTTGGAGGGCCAGGTGGGCGTGGAGGGGCTGAGGGTGGGCGCGGCCATGGTGGGCATGACACGCGACTCGTGTCGGGGGCACCTCTGGTGGCCAAGTGCTAAGGCAGGACTTCCCTGAGACCCTCACTCACTCTCATTACAATCTTCCTTCCTTCCTTTCCTTCCTTCTCTTTTTTCCCCTTCCCTCTTCATTCTCCTTTCTTCTTTCCCTCTTTCCTTATTTTCCTTCCTTGCGCTCTTCCTATCTTTCCTTCTTTTTTTTTGTCTTTCCTCTTTCCTATTCTCCTTTCCTGTTCCTTTTTGCATGCTCAGATGCAAAAGGGAAACATTTCTCCTTTTGTTTTGTTTTTAGTTTGTTTTGATAGCCCTCTGCCAGCGAAAACGGAGCCCACACTGTTTTCGGCCTAGACGGCTGCTGCAGACCTCTGCCAGTGAAAACAGAGCCCAGGGGGGCTGCAGGAGGCCATCATGGCAGAAAACGTGGCACAGGGGGCTGTGCACAGCCTCCCTCCGAGCTCTGTTTTTGCTAGCAAAGGCATCGCAAGCCAGTCTTTTGCTGTTTCCAGGCCGGCCCCACAGGCCAAATTTAAGCAACCGGCAGGCCAAATCCGTTTTGACATCCCTGAAATAGACTATTGGCCAGAAAGCATTTTGGATAAGGCTATGTCTATATTTTGAAATGCTATTGCACAAATATCAACATTTGGAATTTGATAAAGAGCACTATATCTTAAGAATTGGCTTTTTATAAACTAAATTTTAACATCTATAAAGAAAGCATATGGATATCAAATGGATCGTTGATTTTATTGCACTTGGCAAAGTTTGACAAGATTACTTGAAATCTTTTTGGTGTGTGGACTCTCTGACACATTTGTTGGTTGCCCACAGTATCCCTCTGAGCATAGCTCAAGACCAGGCTGGACAGTGAGTCTAGCAGAGTATGCCAGGCCTTAATCTTCTCTCAAATATAGAATTCAAAATGATTCATTAGGTGTGCAATCAAAAATGTAAAAGATCTGGAGATGTTGTGATGATGGGGAAATTTGGTAGAGAAACTAACGTATTTCACACGTTTTAATTACATTATACAGATCCAGGAATAAAATTAATTCAGAAAACTGACACCAATTTATATAACTTCAGTTAAAAATGTCAACATTTTTAAAAGGCCTTCCCTTTCATATGCTCAATTTGTATGCCTGACTTTTCTCTCTCTATGTATACACACACACACACCTCTCTCTCTCCCCCCACCCCCCACTACAATGAAAACAACCTTTGGTATCTTATAGTATATATAAATAAGGATTAGGATATCCATGGTTAGATTAAAACTGATTCAAATCACAACAGTAACAATGCCCACATCAACTTCCACATAAAAATATAAAGACATAAATGCCACTTAGCTCTAGCTTTTATCTAATTTTCACTCTAGTTGTTCCAACAGTTGTTCTATTGAGTTAAATATCACTAAGTGCAGTTCTCTGTATGAATTGCAGCCTCATAGTACAATCCAAGACATACCTATTTTTAAAAAGTGTACTATTTTACTCAGTAGGATTTACTTGGAGAATCAATACAGCTATAACTTAAAGCTTACTCTTTTAATCTGCTCATCAACAATAACAACCACTGATCTACACTGATGTAAACCAGTCTTCATTTTATTTTGGATTGGGTTGGCAAGAAAAAAATTAAGAGATATTTGTAAGCATCAGGCTAGAGAGAAAGAAACATGAATTTCTGTCATTATTGCTACTGGTTACTAACAGTCTAAATATCTAATTTAGAAAATAGTAATTCCTCCATTAGAGTATGTCAAAAATTAGGTTGTAATGGATGAAGGATCACTCACTGCTTATCCCCTTCTTTCATATCAGCAATACAAGTAGTGCTCGACTTAAAAATGTTCAAGTTCCAGCATCTCTACTTGGGGGCCCTTACGACATGAAGTTCTGAGGGTTGCCCCCCCAATCACATGATCGTGTTTTACTTCCAGTTTTTGGCAAAACCAGTTGGTAGCAAGCCATGGTTTCGCTTAACAACCATGGCATTCGCTTAACAACAGCCACAAAACATGTCGTAAAATAGTTATGACCATTGTTGTAACTTGAGAATTACTTAAAAAATACTGAAAGGAAGAGAGGAGTTCCCCCCCCAAAAAAAAATTACACAGGATTATGCCTGTACATTTTATCATATATTTCAATTCTGCAATGACTAGATACTTGCTCTTTTTCATTGGATTCTGGGAAAATGGACTAGATAAATATAGGTAGTCCTTAGCTTATGACCACAAATGAGCCCAAAATTTCTGCTGCTAAGTAATGCAGTTGTTAAGTGCCTCATTTTATGACTTTCTTTTTTGCCACAGTTGTTAGGCGAATCACTGAAATTGTTAAGTGAATCATGTGGTTGTTAAGCAAATATGGCTTTCCCCTTTGACTCTGCTTGTCGGAAGTCCTTGGGAAGGTTACAAATGGTGACCTCATGACCCCAGGACAGTGCAACTGTCATAAATACAGTTACCAAGTGCCTGAATTTTTATTATGTGACCATGGGAGTATTGCAATGGTTGTAAAGGTGAAAACTGGTCATTAGTCACTTTTTTCAGTTCTATTGTAACTTTGAACACTCACTAAATGAATGGTTATAAATTGAGGATTACCTGTAGACTTGCTTTGTGGCTGGCAGAAAGTTACAGCCCTTTTAAATCCAGTAATTAATCTGAGATTGCACTCCATTTCACACTTCCTAATTTTCTTTTAAACTTCTTGCTCTTATGCAAGATTAGTGCTCATCTAATGCATATTAAAACTCACATTACAAAACAAATGAAAGTATCTCAACATAAACATACTGTACCATGTTTTTCCATAGTCTTTACATTCTTAATGATATAAAATATATGAGTCTGACAGATTCTTGAAATATACTAAAATTTTAGTAATACTTGGCATTTTTTCTCTTCCAAGTTTAATTTAAAATCCTATTTGATACAGTGCAGTAGTGTTATCTACATTAGCTGAGGTTTAACTGTGTTATTCCACAAGGATGATCCAACAACAGTCTGAATTTTCAGTCTGAAAAGAAATTTATATTACGTAAAAGGATTGCTGGTGCTAGACTTGTTTTGGAGACTTCTTACCCAGTCATTGCAATGGCATCTTCTAGAAAAAACTGTTCTACAGGGAATGTGCTTCCTAGAGGTGGAAACAATGATAAATAGATAGGAAAATAGTTTTAGTGAAATAGACCCAAAATATGTACAAAACAGAGCAAAGAATTGGAAGCTTTATTCCAACCAATTTGGAGCACTGTTGTCCAGTTATAAGCTGAATTTTACTGCAAAATGGGCAGCAAACAAGAATCTTTTTTGAAATAAAGTATTATTTTAATCCATTTAAGGAACAAACTACTACATAAAGAAAAAAAGAAAAAATGAAAAAGGATGTGGTTGGAAAATAAAACATCAGTAAATAGAGAATCTACAATTGTCATAACATTTCATATAATTATTATATTGAATATTATGAAATATAATGAACTAGACATATCTTTTAAAATAATTTAAAAACACTACAAAACTCTTAACATTAATATTTACATTGACATCACCATTATCATGATTTAAAATAAATGCACATTATTTTGTATTTTAAAAAACAGAAAAATAAATGGAAGAAATTGGTAAAACAAATATAAAGTTCTAATTGCTTTTTTTATACTTGAAAGGCAATTGCATCAAATTATTGATAAATATTAAAATTGCTTTTTACTATGGTTACTATGCCCTTCAAATTCTTAAGATTGGTATAGTTTTCTCGGCTCAAATATTTTATTATCAATACAATATGATGCAAATATATAGAAACTTATAATGGAGATATTTGCTGTAAAATCAGCAGAAGGTAAAACAGTGAAGGAATTAATAGTAAAAGAAGCTGTTTTCACCTGGTATATTCACAATAGGGCAGAAATTAAAATACTGAGAAAAGATGTCTGTATTCAGAGTAGCACTCATTAGTATAACACGTAGCTCTGGTCTTTGTAACAATAAGGCCTTCATAATCAATAACAAGAAGTCACTGGAAAAAACCAAGGAAAAATTAAAATTCTTCCAACATTTGAATGTTTTTGCATCCTCTTTCAATATTAGAAGTGATTCTTGGGTGTCCACTCCCTATTTAGTTCTTAATGTTCTAGGTCCAAAGCTGTAAATATATTACATATTATGGCAGAAACTGAAATACAAACAATATACCTTTTCTGTTATTCTGTAGGGGGAGGATAATAATTTGTCCTCATCAATGAAAAGCAAATTTTTTAAAAAAATACACCACACTTGAAACAAGAAGTCACAGTTAGCAAACAAGTAAAACTTTTAGGAATGAAGTTTGCAAAAAATACTATTTTTATGTGAAGCATCCAAATTCGATGTAGTTACTATGTCTTTCTATTTTTGTTTTTCTACTTGCTCTGATTTTTAGAAAGTAACTTCTTATATAGCAGTCAATTAAGAGCATAGGAGAAAGACAGTAGGCCAGGATTTTTTTCATAAAATATCCTCACATCTTTGAATCGGGTGAAATGCTCCCGGTTCAGACCGGCTTGGGCAAGTAGGTAGCGATGGCGGAGGGCAGTTCGGAGAACCAGTAGCAAAAATCCCTGCCCCCGCCCCCATGCCCAGCTGAGCCCCGCGATCATCAGAGCCTTTTTTTCCTTTTAAATGGTTCTGACCAGCCAAGCTCTGACATCCCAGCTGAGTTGCCTGCTAATCAGGCAACTCATCTTGGATCGCCAGAGCCATGTAAAAGAAAAAAAGTTTCTTTTTTTCTCGCCCCCTCCCAGCCTCCAGCTTGCTTACCTTAGCTGCTGATCGCATGATCGCAATCCATGCATCAGCAAGCAACTGAATCTCCCTGCCTGCAATCAAGCTCATAGGTGAGCAGCTCTTTCTGCCTGCCTGCCTAGACTTGTGGACTTCAACTCCCAGCAAAGCTGGATGAGGAATTCTGGGAGTTGAAGTCCACAAGTCTTAAAGTTGCCAAGGTTGGAGACCCATTCAATTGGGTAAGTTTTTTTCCCCTTTGGGAGCTTTAAAAAAAATAGTTAATTGGAGTTTTTTTTAGTTGTTCTTTTTTTAGACTTAGCCATTTAAAGTTTAGGAAGCTGCTTTTATATAAAAATAAAAATAAATTAAAATAACATAATATTTGTGCAGCTTTCTGAGATTTAGGGTGTTTCTGTAGTGTTTCACTCTTAACTACACAAACACACAAAATCTCACAAAGCTCTATGTGGAATTTTGTGTGTGTAAAGTGTGAAAATTGTTTTTTGGGGCTTTTTGTGGCTGTGTGAGGTTCCTGCTTGTTGCGGGGCCATTTTGGGTCTAGCACAGCTGCTTTTACATTGTGGGTGAGCCAGTTGTGTTGTGTTGTATTTTGTAGGTTAAAAAAGGGCAAAGAAGTGACATTGACTTGGCCACACCCACCCAGTCACCTTACCAAACCCCGCCCACTAATTAAGCCACACCCACAGAACCGGTAGCAAAAAAAATTAGATTTCACCCCTGCTTTGAACCGAATGTTAGTAATTCCAATCTAGAGGTTGATTAGCATAATGTAGTAATCCAGGATTAATAAGTAATACATTATTAGTATGTACTGTAAGAGTGAGCTGGTGTGATCTCAAAGCTAAAAGCTCATGGCACAAAACCCAAACGGAAATGCTACTTTTGCTATACATTCACCTTTCTCAGTTTTCCATGCAGCTGGAAGACTGAATAGTAGTTTATTTTATTTATTTTCTCCAGTGTCTAGTATATGATTATATAAATGCTGGGAATCATGATTTGAACTCTGATTAATTGTTAAAGAAGCTAGGAATAATCCTTAGATTGTTTTGCTGTCTTGGTCAACAGTGCAGTTTAAAACAGAATGTGCATGAGGTATTCTGTTGTTAAAATGAAATGGGTAGCAAACAAATCAAATAAATAAATAAATTCTTTCTTCTGCATACCACAAAGACAGGGGGAAAGGAAACATACAAATTTACAACCTTTAGACTTCTGGGACTGAAGATGACTTCACTTTTAACAGAGTTGACAACCACAGCAAAAGAGGAACTGGTGAATGAATCAGAAATGAAACCCCAAAATCTATTGTTCCAGGAACTCAGTTGCATCCACTTTGAAGAAAAATGCTGGTCCACCTCTCGATTGGCCAGATTAGCAGAGCAAAAATAAAATATTAAAATAAAAAATGGAATGGTAATTCAACAGAAGCATTCGAGTATAAATAGAATAAATTTAGAGAAAGGTTAAAAAATACAATAATGAAAAATTGCCTACTTTTAAAGGTTTGATTACCTTTCTTCTGTTCTCTCATGTATTTCATCAATAATAATGTGAGTTATTCCTTGTAAATTTTTATCCCCTTCTAGCCTTCTCAAAAGCACTCCAGTAGTACAGTACAATAGCCGTGTAGATGAAGACTTGCATAAAAAAGATAAAATATTAAAATGGCCAAGGAAATAATTGTTCTGTCAGATTATTTTGTTTTCCATGGATCATAAAATGGCAGTCTGTTTATAATTATAGAGTTGGCAGGTATCTTGGAGATCATCTAGTCCAACCCCCTGCTCAATTCAAGAACCACCAAAACACATCTGATTATCAGTTCTGTTTGATGACCTCTAGTAAAGGAGAACTCACCACTTTGTGTGGCAGCATTTCCTCTGGCTGACATCTTGGACAGTCAGGAAGGTTCTCCTTCCTTCCTATTTAACCTAATGCCCCCTGGGCCGACCGAGAATTAGTTTATTCTCTCTTCTGTCAGACATCCCTTCAAATATTTAATAACTGCTCTCATATCTACTCCCCAGTTGTTTTTTCTAGAAGCTAACTCAAAGCTTGGTTTCCAGACCCTTCATCTTTTTAGCTCTGCATGAATTTGCTCAATTTTGTCATGCCCTTTTTGAACTGTGATATCTATAAACCAAATGATGGACCAGAGCACAGCTGAGTGGAATATATACTTCCCATGATTTGGGCTCATAATACACCCTAATATAGCATTTACCTTTTCAACAGCAATATCACCAGAGGTCTTCAAACTTGGCAGCTTTAAGACTTGTGGACTTCAACTCCCAGAATTCTCCAGCCAGTATAGCTGGCTGGAGAATTCTGAAAGTTGAAGTCCACAAGTCTTAAAGCTGCCAAGTTTGAAGACCTCTGGATCATATCACAATGCTGGCTCACGTTCATCTTATAGTAGAAAAGAACACTCAGATCCAACCACGTTTCCCTATGCTATACTTTACATTTTTTCCTACTCAGATGTAGAATTTTATACTTCACCCTATTAAATTCTATCCTATTTATTTCAACAAACTACAGCTTGTTCATGACTAATGAAGCAAAAGATCTTTCAGTATTGTAAATTGGACTCTAGCTGGTAAAGGATAGTAAATGCAAAAGTCTAATATAATTATAACTAAGCAATCTGGGACCTGTTAGATATTGTTTCAGAAGCACTTCCTTATTTAAACAGAGAAAAAAGAATGTCCATTCATGGGCAAAAAGGCAGTGGAGTTTAATTTAATAATTTAATTTAATTTATATAGTTGCCTATAATTCTGGGAGTTGCACAACAAAATATATTATAGCATACTGACCAAAATGTGTTCAAATAATTGGTATCATCCTTAGATCTAATAAGGAATACATAGGGAAAACTAAAATAGTAAACTAGTGTATATTTTCTCTCACTTACTAAAAAGAGTTATATTAAAACACATTACCAGAATTACCACTTCAACAAATGTAAAATGAAAAAAACAAACCATGACACTTTCTAGCCGGATTTGATATCCAACAGTAATTCCAACTCTTTCTGTTCGTTCCTTGGCTACACGTTCAGCAACAGAAATGGCAGCAATCCTACGAGGTTGGGTGCAAATGATGTTGGCTACTTTATTAGAAGGGCCTTCAAGGGAGGAATCCAAAATAAACTGAGGTACCTGAGTCGTTTTTCCACATCTGCAAAGAAAAAAATGTGTGTGGGAAAATCACCCATCCCTCAAACAGCACATAACAAATCATTGTGTTCTAAGCTACACTTTATGGATAATATCTTTTAAAGAATTGTTTACTTCTCAAGACTGAGCATAAATCAATGAAATATAAAAGTAACAAAATCCAAGCTAAAATAGTTTTTTTAGCCTCAAATCTTTCCTTTATAGTTATACATACTCATTGAAAGAAAAATAATTTAATTTTTCCTATTCGCTAATACTGATTCAGAAATTTGAAAAAAGAAGACTGAATTCAAGCCTCATGAAAGATTTTCTGTGAGGACTGCAACTTGAACTGTACGAAACAGATGGGACTATTACAAATTCTACAATTTGAAGCCAAAAAATATATGTAGAAATTTCTCATCCAACCAATGGTGGATATTCCCCTCCTCGTCCTGCAGTTGTACTATTGCTCTTTTTTCCTTATCCTTTTTAAATTTGTATGCCAGCCATCTTCCTGGCTTATTGGCATGTTCAAAATATGTCTGTTTCATTGCCTTAAGCTTTTCAGTCATTTTCTCCTGGAAGAGCAAATTTCTCTTGCATTGCCAAAATGGAACCTTCTTTTTGGGGATCACATTTTGCCATGCTTCTACAAAGCACACAAACAAACAAGCAAACAGCTTCCTATTGGAAAAGTATGAGAATCCTTTATACCAGGGGTCCCCAACCTAGTGGGTCCCAGCCCACTACTGGGCCATTAACTGTTCAGAACCTGGCCACAGTGGGCGTGCATGCCTGCTGCTCACATAAAATGGAGCTGTACATGCATGTTTGCTGTCTGCTTGCGTGCAACCACCATCCCCGCCAGTCCACAAAGGCAGAAAGGTTGGGGAACTCTGCTTCACACCATTCTGCCATAGAGGCTACAGAACATTGAATCAGACTTTTTAATGTTAGGATGTTCTAAAAATGTTAGAATTTTATATTTAATTGTATTTGTAATTGAAGTTTTAAACTGTAATTACTTCTAAACTTATATTATAATTTGAATTATTAGCAGAAATATGTAGAGATTGTATGATTACTCTTTCAGTTAATTCTACAGTAGTTTCATTGCTGGCAGTTTACAACCTAACAACTAGATAAATCTCATTTTCTTCTTTTTATTTTTTAGCTTGATCTGTTTGTCTATCTAGTCTTAACCAGAAATGGTAAATCATAAACACAGAGAAAGGAGTATTGGCCTATTGAGACATCAAACATGATGTGGAATGTAGCCTCTATTCAAGTTTGGGCATAGATTATACACTTACCCAGTCATACCACTTACAACTAGGACCTGATATTTGCTCAGCAAGCTGAGAATGTCTTTTTTCTTTTCCCACGCTGGAAGTTTTTGTCGTTCTTGTAACATGGTCTGGTAATGCCTAGAAGACTGACAAAGACATGCACAAAGTTACCAGCAACCATGATTAGCCTCCAATATACAAGTAATAATATATTTACTGTTCACTAAAGCAGGTAATCAACATAAATAAAAATATGTGAAGCATTTTATAAACAAAATCATGCTTTTTAAGGGATTCAAGAAAGTAGAACAAATTCTAATTAGGATCCAACTGTTAATTACCACAAGTTTGGGCTGCAACTTTTAATCAGTTATTAAAGTAATTTTGGCCAATAGCGGATTTTTAAAATGACATCCAAGGGTCATTACATGAATATAAATGTGCCTGATATTTTTTTTTAAAAGAAAGTTACAATATACTAAACTACTTTCCCACACATATTCATAGTTAAAACAATTTAAAAGCTAACTATACCTTTTTTATGCTGAATTGTTTGCAAATTTTAAGATTTTCTTTGGTAATGGACTCTGATGGAGTGCTGCGTTTCAATAAAAGTTTCTTTTTGAGATTCACATAACTCTCTTTCTCTATATGAACTGTTTGTAGGCCCTCTTGGTCATTCTCATCCTCCTCAGCTTCCACCTCTGTTGATGCTTTAAAAAAAATCTTAACAATTAGCAGGTATCTTCTACAATACCGGTTTAACTTGGAGTGGAGGGGGAAGGCATGAATATTGTTGACACAGGGATCAGTACACCAGTGGCTAGTTTATTTATTTGACAGATTTCTGCTCAGGAATCCTGCCCACCATACATTGAATTCAGGCTTCCACTGATGGTCATCCTTGATACAGATTGGAGAAATGTATCATACACTAAATAAATTCAGATTAGGAATTCCATTAAATTATGTAGCCATGAATTGGGCACTCTAGAGGCAAGTATAAGACCTGACTGAAGTTAAAAGATAATCAGGCCTGTTCCATCAAGCTTATTATTGATTGAAAACTGCCATTGCTTCTCTAGATCTTAAAGAGCATTTTTCCTAGTTCTGCCTAGTGATGCTGGGAAATGAACATAGGAGCTTGTACAATCAAAACGGATTCTATCTTGCGTTTTAGAAGACTTTCCCTACCAAATACCTTTCAGTTTCCTCATGATCAGAATTACATTCACTCATTTTAGCGTTTCAATCATCCTAGTATTGATTTCTCTCTCAAAAGAGGCTTATATAGATTAAAACAGCACTACTACAATATGGATTTTCCTGTCAGGTGCTGCCTAATGTTGATGGAATTTGAAGTTCTATTCTTTAGGAGAATATCACACTGTATTTATTACTGAAATTAGATGTATCATGGTTTTCTTAAAGTCAGGCAAAAGTTATTGTTCTTGAGTAGATATTATCATTCTCGCATCCATTGTATCCCAATGCTCACTTCGTGATGAAAACAAGTTTTTTTAAAATCAATTTTCTTAAATTTATGCCTTTTCAGGTTTATAATGGTGATTTTATTAGATACAATTTTCTTATGTTTTGTTCAAGATACATGTTGTAGGGCAGGGGTCCCCAACCCCCAGTTCAACCTGTTTGGACCCATCATGCATAAGCGGCAAGTGTACAAGCACATAAAGCTGAATTTGTGCAAACGGTACACACACATGCATGAAACCATCCCTTCTCCCACCACCACCGCCACCAGTCCTCAGAGCCGGAAAGATTGGGGACCACTGTTATAAGGTACTTTAAGGTATCAATTAAAAGGTATAGTACACTTTCCATAAATAATGTAAATGAGATTTGGATTAATGAACAACAAAGGCTAAAGTGCTAATCCAAATAAAATGATCAATGAAGGATTATATTAAAGGTTCATTCTCCAATGCAAGTTTTAATGGGAAAATCTGCCCTCTTGGGTTGGTCTCTTTCAATTCTATAGTCTCCAAACTGGAAACTCAATACATTAGAAAAACTCTGGGTGATATAATATGACTTTAAAAAATAGTTATATCTGTTTGTCATTTGGTGTTAATTTATTTGTTGAAGTACAAAATCTGACATTTCTGTACTTACACACAATTCATTTCTTGAAGCACAATTCTCTCTAACTGAAAATTGCCTAGGTCTATCCATGTTAGCAAATTACTAAAAAAAACAAAAATAAAGATCCAATCAGTTACAAAGTTTCTTCTTGAAACTTATTCATTATACAAGATTGTTCAAGCCTTCAAGCCCACCAGAGTAGGAATACCTAAATAAGGTTGTCATATCAATTGGAAGCAAAATGGAGACATTCAACGTTGATTTTCAAGTTCCCAATAAAGAGTTATGAAAACAAACATACCTTCAGAAGTCTGATATGGATTATTAGAGCTACTTGGAAATTTCTGTTTTGGTGGCAGTGGAGGAACACTGTATTTGTGGGATGTCTTATTAAGCAATTTCAGGACTTGAGCTTCATCTCTTAAGCATGTTACAAAATCATATACTACAGGTTTATTAGACTCAGATGAAATTAAGGCCTTTTCATAAAGGAATTCTGCTAAATGCAATCGACAAGATAAAGGCAGGTTCTCATTAGTAGAATAGAAGGCCACAAGAGGTGGTTGATATGGGTATTTATTATCTTCTGGAAATCTTACTTCAAGTTCGTACACAGGAGCATTAAGTTTAAGATGAGCATCCTCGCGAATGGGGGGAAGTGATTTCTCATTGTGTGAAGTTTCATGCTTGAATTTGCATCTTGATCCAAATTTGCAATCTCCTCGGAGGTAATATTTACAGATACCCTGGGAATTTGTATTAACTATGTTACTGGTGATGCTATTTCCTTGTTTTGTCTTGCTGAGAATATTTGTTAGATATGCCAACTCTAATGTAATAATCCAAACTCGATTTTGAATTCGTTCAACAAATTTGTCTCCACAGATTGAACGGAGGGCTAAAGCTTCTTCTTGCCTTTGTTCAAAACAATCTTTAATATTTGCTTGAACAGAAGCTTCTGTGAGCTGCACTCCCTTTCCAAACTTTTCTGTGAAGCACTGCATAAGTAAATGTTCCAAAGATGCTCCAATATTACCATTGTAAGATTTCAGTACTGCTCGGCATTGTTCAGAATCAAAGCCATACCTAGAAGGAAGAAAACAGTGAATACAAGTGCCATCTGGGCAAGAGCAAGTAGTTCTACTACTTCTAAAAATGAATATTTTTTGGCCTATTTTATCCTATGAGAAGAAGCTACTCTGGATTGCATAATACACTTTGGTTCTGCAATTAGAATATACTTTGTTATGCGAGTCTGTGCTTGTTTTTAGAATATGAAATTTTGCATTCTATGAAGATACACTGATGGCTTGAATGATTGATGAAGCAGAGTTGAATTCCTAAAAATCTCCTGGGGCAGAATAAAAGAGCCAGGAAGGGATTAGCAGTATTTGGGTTGGTAGGAAATTGACTTGAATGAAGAACTTGTTTCTTTCCCCCTTGCCCCCCTCCCCAATAATAACACAAAGAATTGGAATTTCTAGAAAAAAGCAGCCCATTGACAATAATTTGATAATTATAACAGCCTGAAATGTGTTTTTTTTTAAATTAAAGCCAAAATTGTCTTACTATTGAGTTCGTGATCAAGGTATCTCCCCTGCCAGGTAAGTATGCTAGATTCTGAAGTCATTGTGTTATTCCTTCAAGTAACTGCCACTCTCCATTCCAGTCACGATTCCTAAATTATATAATGGCTTTGATGTAGATGCAAACATAATTACCTGGAAAGCTTATGCACAGCAAAAGATGATACTTCCGTCTCTAGCACATTCACTGTTGCTTGAGAAGCAGCTCTTGAATCGATTTTAGAGAATGTATCGTCATCTGACCAGGACTGCTCATCATCTGACTCACTGCAATCACTTATATCTGACATTACTGTCCTGGAAGCATAAAATATTTCTAGGACTTCAACCAATAAATTAATTTGGAGGATTAGGATTATACAAAGTGATTTTATACTCTTCTCTCTCAGTCTGGAAGTGGTTTTATTTAATTGTTCAAAGGTAGAAATTAACTGTATTTGTTATGTAAAACATGCAGCCACTTTGAGTTAAACAAACACATTGCTTCCTCTTCTAGAATGGGTACAAAATCTTGTTTGCTAAACCAATCAACCATCTAGATATGCTAAATTTTATACCATAATTACATACTGTGAAAGGCCTATTCAGTTATAAAAATAAAAAGGGTTCATATACAATTTGGTGGCATGTCATATTTAAAGAATAAGTATGCTGTGTTTTTAAATAACTCACTTCGAACCAGAAGCCAGTTCCTGCTCCTGGAGCTCAGAAAGAAGTTTTTTTACTCTTTTCTGATTTTTTGAAGTCATATGAAGAGTCTGAAGAGGTGTTTTGATCTTGGATGCATGCTTGGCCTGTCCATTTCCTTTATTAACAGAACTTGATGTACAAAAAGAAAAAGTATATTATTTACAAATACAGTCAAGTAGTGTAAAATGCGTATCAGAATACATAAAATTCATTAGTTAAAATTATGATTAAAATGACAATTGTACAGGATCAATTCCATCTTTTGCTGTTAGCAAATGCTCAGAAAGGGTGGAAAACATAAGGAAGATTGCAAAGATCTCTTGCCAAAGCAACGAAGAGGAAAAACATATACAAGTAGTCCTTGACTTACAAGGTCCCAATTTTTGGTTATAAATTGTTGAGGTTAAGCAAGGTGACCACATGTAATAACCTAGCTCAACACCTTTATCCCCACCCTCCCAGGTAAGGTCCCCAAGAGACTGTGTTGGTCATTAAGCAGACAGAGCAAAAGAGCTTCCTGTTGAAAAAGGAAAGCACCTCTTCCCCATGCACAGAAAGAAATTTATGTGCTGAACCCGAGAAATAAAGTTTAGATCTCATTATCTCATAAACCCAAAATGAAGCTCGGATCTCCTTAATTTCTCTGACCTCCAGCTAAATACTCATTCCTAATTCTATGATACTACATTCAGTTCATATTCTAAAGAATAATTCATTTTGCTAACCTGCATGCATCTTTTGTTTCACCGAAAACGCAGAAATCATCATCCCAGATTTCGTCCAATCCTTTTTTGCTGCCACTGCCTTGATGTTTGCTGCCACTGCCTTGATGTTTGCTGCCACTGCCTTGATGTTTGCTGCCACTGCCTTGATGTTTGCTGCCACTACCTCCTCCTTTTCCTCCTCTACTTTTGGATTTCCCTCTTCTCTTTGCTGAACTCATTTTTTAGCTAAAGGGGAAAAAAAACATGAAACAAAATGCTCAAGAGTGAAGTATAGCGCTAGGTTTACTATGTAAACACACAGTAAAGATATCAGTTGACATTATTAATTGATCAGCTCTCTCCCACAACCCATAACAAACACCGTGGGATATATTTCCTAGTAAATTTGCTTTGGTCACAGTATTTGTATGTTATTCTATAACAGTATATTTATCAATAAGGATCCACTTGTGACGTGGACAATAGTATATCATACTCCATTGGATCAAGTTTAAACCAATAAAATTAATTAAATTATATCTGTAGAGGATATATACAGTATAATTGCATTGCATGCTATGAGTTACATTCAGTAATGGCTTAATTATTCTCCAATTACAATCAACAAAGTCACCATAAGAGCAGCAGCAGTTCTTCGAGTGAATTATACTTTGCTGAATTTGGTAACTAAACATTTGGAGACTTTTATATCTGTCTGTTTCTCCTTTTCTATCTCCTTTCCTGTTATGGAAGGCCTCTTGAATTGCAAATAAGGTTATTTTCTTATTCACATTGCCAGGAACTCTGGGAGTGGCAGGGCAAAAATCCAGGTAAAAAAGATTTTTAAAAATCATACATTTTGTACAAGTATATTATAAATTATAATATAAATTATATACTACATTAAATACATCACCATAGTATAAGCTATAATAAATCACAATAAATTATGTATTCCCTAATTCAGGGGTGTCAAACTGAAGGCCCGTTGGCCCATGAGGCTGGAAATATCAAAGGAGCGGCCAGCAGAGTGCTGCTGGAGGCCGGGGAGGTTGAAAACGGATCGTATGGCAGCCATGCAGGGCCTCCACACAGCCCATTTTGGCCAGCAGAGTGCTGCAGGAGGACTGGATTGGACTGGATTACAATTATGTAAGTACAAGTAAGTGCCTGATCTAGATAGAAAACAAGCAACATCCTATGTTAATACTACAGGCTAATGCCAGATTTTACATATTGTAGGTCTATTTAATCTACAATCAACAATCTATAATTGACAGCCATTTCTATTTACTATACTGGAAATTTACCACTGCTGTTAAATCTTGTATTATCATGTTATTTATGCTATTGTAGTTTTATTAGAGTAGAGTAGAGTAGAGTAGAGTAGAGTAGAGTAGAGTAGAGTAGAGTAAAATAGAATAGAATAGAATAGAATAGAATAGAATAGAATAGAATAGAACAGAACAGAACAGAACAGAACAGAACAGAACAGAACAGAACAACGAAGTTGGAAGGGACCTTGGAGGTCTTCTATTCCAAACCCCTGCTTAGACAGGATACCCTACACCACTTCAGACAAATGGTTATCCAATCTCTTCTTAAAAACTTCCAGTGTTGGAGCATTTACAACTTCTGGAGGCAAGTTGTTCCACTGATTAATTGTTCTATCAGGAAATTTCTCCTTAGTTCTTCTTCATTAGTTTCCACCCATTGCTTCTTGTCCTGCCCTCAGGTGCTTTGGAGAATAGTTTGACTCCCTCTTCTTTGTGGCAGCCCCTGAGATATTGGAACACTGCTATCATGTCTCCCCTAGTACTTCTTTTCATCAGACTAGACATACCCAGATCCAGCAACTGTTCTTTATATGTTTTAGTTTCCAGTCCCCTAATCATCTTTGTTGCTCTTCTCTGATTATTAGTTATTATATTTATTAAATATTATAATTATATATTTATATTATATTATAAATATTATATGTTATATATATTAAATATTACATATTTATTATTATTATTAATTATATTATATTATTATCTTATTAGTTGAATAATAAAAATACAATAGTATAATTAGCTTTTCTGCCTGGAAAAACTATTTACTATTAAACAATAGGGCATAAATTTAGAAATAAAAAGTTCAGTACAGTATGAAGAGTAAGTAATAAATGTTTGCCAGTAATAACTGGTAGAAGAGATTGGAAGATGGATATATATAGAACTGTGGAAAGAAAGAATGGAAAAAATGCATCTTGCGTCTTTGTCAAACACCCTTCCCGGCCACACCACCCCCTCCCCCCACACCTTCCAAGGTCAAACTTACAACCCTGATGTGCCTTTCAATGAAATCGAGTTTGACACCCCTGTCCTAACTGAACATATTCTTGCTCACTATTGGTGTGGGTGTGTGTGGGTGAGAGAGAAAGAGAACCTCAGTATTCACAGTGAAAATAGGAAAAACCATATAGAGAACTGTAGTTGATGATCAATATACCGTCTATTCAACTAATGTGAGCTTGTGGATTTAAGTCAGATCTACTCCTCAGTGCCACTAATTTTTTTTTAATTTTTTTTTTTATTTATATGCTGAGGGCGGCTTACTAAGCAATAGCCTTCATCCTTTTGTATATTTATACAAAGTCAGCTTATTGCCCCCACAAACTGGGTCCTCAATTTACCTACCTTAGAAAGGATGGAAGGCTGAGTCAACCTTGAGCCTGGCCAGATTCGAACCTGCAGTAATTGCAGGCAGCTGGTCTTAATAACAGGGTGCTTTAGACCACTGTACTATCACGGCTCTTGGTAGTTTTAAGGGGCCAAGCCTGAGATATCCTTCTACAAAGAACACTCCACTACAATTATCGTAAAAAGCCATATTGCATCACTTAAACACCGGATTGAAATGCCTCGTCTCTCTCAATACTTTCAGGCCTCTCATGTTCAGCGTTTCAAGAGACATTTTCAGAAAACTCACAGCCTCCCTGCATACATATTGTAAAATACCCTCCTCAATCCGGGGGCTCTCCACCCCTCTAAACTCTCCGTACATTTGCCCTCTTGCTAAAGGACCAGCAAGCCAAAGGAAGGTTACCGCCTCAGAAAAGACCGCCCGAAGAAAGTCAGTGTAAATATCACCCCTCCCTCCCTCCCTCCCCATAATGACAAACCTCTGTCTCTCCTGCTAATTCTCTTTAGCAGAGACGCCGGCTCCTGCCCGGAATCTCACCCGAAGCCGACACTCCACGGTCACCTGGAAGTAAAAAGCTTCCGCTTCCTGTAAACCTTGTCGCCATAGCAACCGCGTGTGCAACTTTCCGAGTTATGTCCGGTGAGTAGCGATTCCAATGGAATGATTGTTTAAAAACAAAAACACACCAAAAAAGGAAGGTGTTTCTTGATCGAAGTCAAAAAAGTTAGGTCAGTTTCAGTACAGGAAGGATTTGCAGCTCTCCAGTGAAATGTTGATGTGTCTGTTACAAGGTATAAATCAGTGTTTCTCAACCTTGGTAGCTTGAAGATGGGTGGACTTCAACTCCCAGAATCCCCCAGCCAGCGCTGCTGGCTGGGGGATTCTGGGAGTTGAAGTCCACCCATCTTCAAGCTACCAAGGTTGAGAAACACTGGTAAAAATGGTTTTGCACTCAAAAGATCCATTAAGTGTAGAATACTTTATGGGTGGACAGATGGAAGAATGAACTAAGCTTGAGGAGATGATGATAATGATTATTATTCTCTCTCTCCCTCCCTCCTCTCTCTCTCTCTCTCTCTATATATATATATATATATGTGTGTGTGTGTGTGTGTATGTGCATTTTTTTATTTATTTGTCAAGCATGTATAAGATAACAGATAAACGTATAAACATGATTATGAATACATCATGAGATACATACGAATAAATGGAGACAGTAGATCAGGGACGGTCGGCACGTTGGTGTGCTTATGCACGCCCCTTACAATATATACTGCTCAAAAAAATAAAGGGAACACAAGCAGAAGACATCCGAGATCTGAATGAATGAAATAGCCTTATTAAATACTTTGTTCTTTACATACAATAGTTTATACACTGCTCAAACAACTAAAGGGAACACAAAACTACTGTATGTAACAAACAAAGTATTTAATAAGGCTGTTTCATTCATTCGATCTCGGATGTCTTCTGCTTGTGTTCCCTTTATTTTTTTGAGCAGTGTATATGTTATATATGTTAACAATTATATATGTGTGTTTAACAACAACACTGTGAGGTGGGCTACTGATGAGAAGCAACTAAAAATGAAAGCAAGAAAAGCCCAAAGTCCTCTAGCCGGTTTTCATGCTTAAGGAAGAAGCCAGTATGAAACTTGAGTTAAGGTATGCCAGTACCTTAACTACTACATCAAACACGCTCTCTCTATTTATATTTTATATTTAGGCTGAAGGATACTTTTAAAGATCAGTAAAAATATATTCTTTCTCAACAGGTTCTGAAGTTTATAAAATATCATTTATATTTCCAAATCAAGATAAGTATGGTAAATATTTACAGATACTATATTATAATGTGTTTGTGAAAGATTATTGAAATGTATACAAATTATTTCCAATTCAGTATTGCACTTATTCGCAATAACATAAATTCAACAGTTCTTATTCTTTTAAAAAAATAGGATTGTGCTGTAAATGAGACAATAGTCGAAGCATTACAATGCAAATAAATTATTTTAGAATATAATCTACTATGCATGTCTGTACTAGTAAGATAAGCTGAGATGAGTTTGTTTTTGAATATCAGGAATGTTGTAGAGTTGGATTTCCTCAGTTTTCTCTAAATTATAATCTCATTCTGTTTGGGAAGGATAGGAAAGTGGCTTTGAAGAAATTTCCAGCTAATGAACATTTAGCTGCATTTAATTGTATACCCTAAAGTATGACATTTCTTGAATGATATTATCAAATCATGTTGCACCTTGAATACTACAGTTATTGAAAGCAGTATTGAAAATAAAATATAGCATTATCATAAACCATGTCTATGTGCTGAATTTAGCTCAGCATTAACCATAATGCTGAGCTGTCAGCTGAGCTATGGTAAAATCCTGTCAAGGATTCCCTAAAACTTAAGTTTGTCCCATCTGCTGGACTAATTGGTTCATAGTCTGAGCTAGCTGATTCATCTGGGTAGCCACCTAATTCTGATATTATAAGCAAGGATGAGCCACCTATAATCAATCAGTTCCCAGATGATTCAATGACCATTGTTCTGATCCCATGCTATGTCTCTCCATTCTTCCTCTCCTTCTGTAGTAGAGGAATTATGGAGAGAGCAATCACTGTAAAACTTTCTGTGAAGACTTCAGTAGAACTTCCCAGAGACTTAGCACAGCATGCCTTCTTTAGGTTGTCAGTTCTAATTTAGCTCAAAACTTTCAAGATGCATGATACTACTGGTATGTGGCCAGATAATTTTTTTTATAGCATAGTAAAAATACACCACTAATACTATTGAGTAACTTGTTACTGGGGTTTTCCCTCCTGCATTGTCTTTTGATTCATTAGATGGTGACTGTACAAGAACACCTGATGGAATTCTTGAGAGAAATGGATATGGAGTTCATACAACTGCAGGTGGAATTATTTATCGTGGAGCATGGAAGAATGATAAGGTATATTTGTTTTTTAAAAATATCTAAAACATGCAAACAATTAAAGAACTTCTATTACAGTAATATTAAATCAGTTCTGAGAAAAGAATAAAAACTGACTGTACCAATGAAACCCTAATTAGAGAGCAGAAACTCACATATTTTGGGTGTGTGATACAAATAAATAGCAAATTAGGGGGAAATGATTGTGAATATCAAGGTTGAAGGAAGTGGAAGGAAAAGATCAGAAATATCAGTGGGATTCCCTGGAAGTGCTGTGGTACTGAAGAAAAATATAGAGAACATTCAGTGACCAGAATTTGGAGTTGATGGCAAATAATTGACTTAAGAAACCTCAGTGAATAAATAAAACTTGGGCTACAGCAGGGTTGAAATCCAGCAGGTTCTGACAGGTTCTGGAGAACCGGTAACGGAAATTTTGAGTAGTTTGGAGAACTGGTAGCGGAAATTTTGAGTATTTCCGAGAACCGGCAAATACCACCTCTGGCTGGTCCCAGAGTGGGGTGGGAATATTCTTCCCCCAGGAGTGGGGAGGGAATGGGGATTTTGCAGTATCCTTCCGCTGGAGTGGGGTAGAAATGGAGATTTTGCAGTATCCTTCCTCTGCCACGCCCACCAAGCCACGCCCACCATGCCCATAGAACCGGTAGTAAAAAAATTTGAATTTCACCACTGGGCTACAGCCAATAGCTATAGTGGCTATAGCTTCATTTTACTGAAAAATACCTCCATTTGAACACCTTGGAACCCTCCATGCTCTATCTTATTTGATCTCACTGATTTCCTCTTAGCCTTTCATGGCAATTTCGTATGGGGATTTAGGTAGGAAGGAATGGAGAATTTGTGAAAAACATATGTCCACATTTATGAAAATGTGTATATACACAAATATACTCTTGCTATATATCCTGTATAAACTTAATGGTATCTTAGCCATTGTCTTGTTTTAGTATAAGCAGAGCAAGTATATTGTTAGAATATTTTAATTGACTTTTCTGCCTTAAGCAGAATGAGGGGTGAGAGTTCATGATGCACCACAATTTTCTTAATTGTTCTTCTCCTCCCAGGGCTAAAGCTGCAAAGTAAGGCAAGAAGTAGTTTAGTTATCTGATGTGTTAGTTTTCTTGCTCTGAGACATCTACAAATAGTGTAGATGTCTCAGAACAGTACAACAAAATCTGAAAGACCAGTTTGAGGACAGAATGATCATCCTAGAGAAAATCTATCCATATGGTCACTAAGAATCCACATGGACTTGAGAGACATGACTGTAATAAACACGGATAAATTCCATTTCATTTTGCATCTACATAGTATTAGGCTTCACATACTTTAGAATAGATCACAAGGAAGAAAGTTTTTATTCTTTCAAGAGCACTGCAACAATATTTTTAAATTGTAGAAGACAATAAACATTACCCTGTTTCCCCGAAAATAAGACATCCCCTGATAGTAAGCCCAACTGGGCTTTTGAGTGCATGCGCTACAATAAGCCTTCCTCCGAAAATAAGCCCTCCCCAAAAATATTTAAATGCAGAGCTGGAAATCAGGTAAGACGGCAAGAGGAGCCCCATCTTGCTCCATGCGCCCCAAAATAATAAGACCTCCCTGAAAATAAGGTCAAGTGCTTATTTTGGGGTTCAAAAAATATAAGACAGGGTCTTATTTTCCGGAAAACACAATAATTGTTTATCATCTGTTCTAAAACATATTTAGCTTGATTCTGAATTCATTCTTCTTAATGTGCTTAAATGAAGTTGGTATGATATAAGATTGTTTAATTTTCCAGCTCAAATTGTCTTGGAGTAAGCTATAAGTTTAACTTTATTCAGCTGAACTTGTCCTGAGTTAATTATGCATAAGATGACCCTTTTAAATTTACTTAATTTAGGAAAATAATATTTGGAGTAATTTTATTAATACATATGCTAATACCGCTTTTTGTTAAATTAGATGAATGGTTTAGGAAGGCTAGAACATCCTTCAGGTGCAGTTTATGAAGGTGAATTCAAGAACAACATGTTACATGGAACCGGAACTTATATATTTCCTAATGGATCCAAGTATACTGGACAATTCAATGAAAATAAGTAAGCTGAAAAAATTATTGCAAAAAATTATCTTAGTATCTACTACAGTAATATGCCTAGTTTGTATTAGAAATTTAGTCTTGGTTTATGTAATTTGGTTTATATATGTAATCCAAAATATAGTTAATTTGTTTCTGGCTTACTGTGTTGTGTCAACCTCAAAAATTCTGGCTTAAGTTACATGCCGTAGCCTAGCATTCTATGTTAACCTATCTTTGTAGGTGAGTATGATCTCTTCAGTTAATATTTCTAGAGTCAGTCATACTCACAACATGCTGTTTTTGAAAATGATTGGGCCAAATATCTGTAAACTAAATTATATGTTAACTAGTTATCAGGTAATTTCTAATATTGGTTCCAGAGTATTGAATATTGGTCTCAAGACTTTTGGCATCTTTTGCACTAAGCCTTCAGACCTGCCAACTTTAGCCTGAAGGCAAATGATGTAGCAATTAACCAGGACTGCACACTTCACTCGAAGTTCCATTATATAAGCAAGAATATCAGTGACACTATTCTACTCTGATCTTAAATTTTATTTTGTGTGCTGCCTTGATCTGTTTGACAGTTATGTGGTCCTAGAAATATCTTAAATACAGAATCTCTCTATCTCCCTATCTCTCTCTCTCTCTATCTATCATGGCCTGAAGAAATTTGAAAACCCGTGGTCTAAACAACTGTCTAATGATTAACCCAATTGGGGCTTAAAAACTGTCAGCATCATCAGCCATTAAGTCATGTCTGACCCTTGGCCACTCTACGGATCAGCAATCTCCATGCCCCTCTGTTTCATGCTGCCTCCTTCAAATCCATGCTATGGTCCTCCCGATATCATCCTTTATAGTATCCAGCCAACAGACACCTTCTCCTTTTTCCACTGATCACTTCCAGCATGATTGTCTTTTCAAGTGAGTCAGCTCTCATGGCAAGACCAACATAGGATAGCTTCTGTTGGGCAATCTTGGCTTCAGCTGGTATTTTTGGTGGGATTCGGACTAGGGATTCAGACTTCTTTGTTTGTTATTTTTGCAGTCCATGGGATATGTAGAAGTCACCTCCAACACCACAGTTCAAAGGTGTCCACCCTTGTCCTATCTGCCTTTTTCGGAATCCAAGTTTCACAGGCATACGTAGCAATTGGAAAAATTATTGTGTTAATTAATCTGCATTTGGTTGTGAAGCTGATGTCTTTACTCTTCCAGACATTGCAGTTTTTCCAAGTGCTACATGCCTGATGTTCTCAGGGCTGCAGTCACCATTTTGGTTGATTTTAGAGCTCAGGAAGATGAATTTCTTTACTTTTTAAGAACTGTAGAGAAGACTTGGGGTCAATATAGCTGACAGGATAGGAATCCATGTACCATATCTGAAAAGATTTAAGATTTTAATTTTGCTGTTGAAACTCCTTACAATGTTTTATTTCTATATTTCATCTGTCATTGTTTGGATAATTTTATTATGTGGTGGTGGTGTTATCTGCCTTAATTTGTGGCACTTCATCTTACTGTTTTATACAGAAAGACAATATAAAAGAACCTAATTAAAATAAGTCAAATTACTGTTTTAGCAAATTGTGTCTCAAAATGCCGCTAGGTTGTACATGATTATGGATAGTTTATTGTTTTTGTTTAACCTGCTATTTTTGTTTTTATCTCAGGCTGGAAGGGAAAGGAGAATTTACAGACACCCAAGGGCTGGAATGGGATGGCACCTTTCACTATACAGCAGCACCAGGGCTGAAGCTAAAGTTAGAAATGTAGAATGGTTTGGATTGATAGAGTGGAATCAAATCTCTGCTATAGAGTTTTCAAGCAAATGGTTTTATGTGTAGTTTAATGGAGACAAATTACTGTTTTTTTTTTTAAAAAAAAGTTTAAACAGGTAAAATAAAGGCCTATTCATTTCTTTAGCTTTCAGAACATCTTCATCTTTTTCTCTTTATTTAATTGTAATTATTGTACATATATAATTGTACATATAGTTGTACATATAACATGCTGATGTTTAAAAATGTTTTCTAACAATTATAAAAATATGAATAGTTCAATATTAACAGTTGAGATATTTGGGAAGAATAGAAAGTATGCAAAACAAGGTAAAATTTAACTGAATCAATATAGTACATGTATGTAAATAAATAGTTTAAAGTCTGCCATTTTTATCAGTCTGTTTTTAATTAATACATTAAACATTAATTGAACTTACACCAATGCTTCTAGTGGATTATTTACCTTCAATTTTGCATAAATCTGATGTAAAATATAGACCAGACCTTCACTAAGATATTGGATTTATATTGCAAGTTTGTTAATATACAATTTACTTCAGAATTAACAAATATCTCTAACAAATAAGTTTGTTAAAATAATCCAATATTTTAGCAACAGAATTTCTGAACACAATGAGTTTAACTTTCCAGCATCCTAAAATAATTTCAATGACAATGATGGAAAGAATAATTGTGTCACCACTGACATGAACAGATTTACAATTCATATTGCAGTTTCATTCTTTAAATATCCTTAAACAATAGATAATTATAGGCCGGGATGAGCAAGTACATTTCAGGGTGAATGCACGCTTGCTGCGATATAATGTTGGATCTCAACACTTCATTGTTTGTACTTGATCAACAGTGCACTGTTGTAAAAAGAACTCTGGAAGACTGAGATTTCCACAAAGTAATTTCCATTTAGAAATTAAACATACTGTATAAATGCCATTTTTAGTGGAATACTTAGACTATTTTAATATTACAGGATCACTCAATAAAAATAAACTCTAAATTAAGTGCCCCTTTCATTACCATATGATGTATCTGATGGTCCAATGATGGTAAGGCCTCCTAGCTTTACCATGTTTGCCTAGCCATACAGACTTCCCAAAATAGTATTTTCTAGCTATATTACAGGAAAGCTTTCATTATGTCAAGTCAACATGAACAGGTGATCATCATCATCTTCTTTTAACGACACCATGATCCCTTATTGGGTGGAGCCTGGGCAACTGGAGAAACTAGCAGAGTGTTTTAATGGCTGGATGCCCTTCCTGTTGCCAATGCAGAGTTTTGTTCAGCAGATATATTCTCAGTGTGCCCAGAGAGAGAAATATCTGCCTCTATCTAGGATCGAACTTGCAGCCTCCTGATTGCGAGACGAGAGCACCACCTCTAGGCCATCGCACCACTCCTCAACGTGGACAGGTGATAGAGTCCATTAAATAGACAGAGCCCAAACAGATTGGGAGAAGATTAGTAAATTGAACTGATTTATGGTCATATTTGCTGGATAAAAAATACTGGAGAAGTGCACATTCTGCTTCCTTCTAGCGAGATCCTTTACTTTCCTATTTAAGAATCATTAGCAGCATTGCTTTGAAGTACAATTAATTCATACATTTTTGTTGCTACTAAAAAGTAAAAAAAGAATCAAGTAGAATTTATGATTCAACTAATTTATCTGAACTGGAATCTTGCATTACCATAAAGTTCCATGAGAGATTGTTAGGAATTTTCACAAGAGATTGTGACTGAAAAATACCAAACTTCATTTCTTAATTTTCACACTGCAAGTGCTAATATTTAAAGCTGTGTAGGTTAAAGGTGAATTGTATTATAAAGATTTTGCTTCTTTTTTTTTTTGCAATTTTTATAGAGCTTCCTTGAGACCCATACTTTATTGATTGATTGATTGATTGGTTCAATTTATATGCCGCCCTTTTCCGGAGACTCAGGGTGGCTTACAATGCATTAAGCAATAGCCTTCATACTTTTGTATATACCTGCTTAGTAGGGCTTTCGCCCCCCCCCCAAGCGGTGTTCTTTTTTATACAAAGTCAGCTTATTGTCCCCACAAACCGGGTCCTCATTTTACCTACCTCAAAAGGATGGAAGGCTGAGTCAACCTTGAGCCTGGTGAGATTTGAACTTGCAGTAATTGCAGGCAGCTGGTGTTACTTAACAGTGCTTTAGTCTGCTGCACTACCAAGGCTCTTTCAAGGTTCCTCTAGAGTTAAATAGTGAAAACACTGGTTTAAGAAATGTAGCTGATGTTTTTAACCAGCAGGGAGAATGTGACCTGAGGATTGCATAATTAGAAAGTTTAGATTAGACATGCCTGGATTTTAAATGAATAATTACTGTGTGATAGACCTACTTCAGAAATCATCACCTTTTCCCTTTCATTTGAGACAGTCAATGTTTCAAAATCATAAAGAACCTGATACCGTGAGAGAGAGAAAGAGCACAGCCAAGGGTAAGTTTAAAATTGAATGTATTTCCACTTTTAAATAATTAATAATTAAATATTATAATGAGAATCAAGCTGTTCCTTATGTGACACACACAAACAGTAAGAGATTGTAAGAGATCTGGTCTGATATATTAGGTAAATGTTCAGCATAGTTTTAAAACTGAAATTCTGTATATATTTCATTGACTGGAAATAATTCTATGATCAATTAACAGATCATTGTTGAGCTTTGTTCATTTATCTTTCTTAATGTATGGAAAAGTGCTGGGAACTAGTAATCACAGGCACCTGAAACCTGGAACTACAGGAGTGTTAACCTGCCAACTGATGCTTCTCCTCTGGTCTCCTAAAAATGCTGTTGAGGACTAAAATGGGCAAATAATAAAACATGAAAAAATAGTATCTCCTTTCTTTTAGCATTGATATAACTAGAGATCTAATATCTTTCTATGGCAAAGTATCCTAGCTATGCTTGCTCTGAATGTGGATTGAAGTTCCAATCTTAATGATACCCTTCCATTTGGATTACTGCAATGTGTTACATATAGAGCTGCTATTAAACTCTGGATGTTTGAATACAAAAACAAGAATTTAAACTGGGTTTTTGTACTATGTATGTATTATACAGATATCACCTTCCTTGGCTCTTAATTGCTTCCAGGCTCAGATCAATATATTGCCTTCATTCATCAGATCAAAATATTCATGTCTACCTACCTACTGATATGTACCTATTTTCTCCATAACATGAACCTTTTCTGAGAGATTCTGGAAGTAATGTAATGATAATAGGATTCTTATCCTTGCACTTGCATCTAGAGAATTTAAGTTGTACAGTAAAGAATATAAAGATAAACAGACCCAAGAAACCATGTCCTTCCAGACATCTAGATAGCCTCAGCCTCGTTAGCCTTTCATAAAGCTCTGAAGATCAGGCATTCTTCCAGGTGTTTGGGCTAGGAGGCTAAGCAACCTCTGCTGGTAAAGCCATTTTTATGATTTGGATCTATTGTTTTAATTTTGGGTGTCATGTAGAATGGTGAGATGTTGTTTTAATTGTGTATGCCACCCAGTTACTCTTGTGAGATGAGTATCCATAGAAGTCATGTATATAAATAACTAATCAAACAGGTAGCACAAATATTATACTATGGCCAGTACAGAGTCTTGTTGAGCTATAACTAAAAACAATGAGGATTTAAGAATGGAAGCAGGTTGGTTCTTGGTTTGAAGAGCTTCATTGAGACCAGAAGTGTCTTGGCTTTCTCTTCTCAGTAAAAGTTTTCATAGAAACTTGTTTTAGAGATGAGCCAAATATCATATACTCCACTGGTAATCAATAACTTCATTATATTTTTTCTTCTGCTAAAATTAGGAACTCTATCGTCTAATTTATATGCAAAAGTTCTTTAAAACAATGGGATGGATTTTTCCCCTCAGTAAAATTTCAAAGTGGGAAATATATTGACTGAACTTGAAGCAATATCCAACATATTTAAGAAGCATGGACTCAAATAGAAGAGAAGGTAACTAATATATTTAAACTGTTTAAATTCTTCTTTATTCTTACATAATACTGCATTTAGCAAATTTTAGAAAAACATTCATAAATATAAGACATAGAGGTTAAAAACAATGATGCTTAAGGAATCTGTGATGGAAGATGCTAGAAAAAAAATAATGGCTTTGGCATATGGAAGCAAAATGCTGTGCATGTAGAAGCCAATTGATTCCTGAGCAAAGCTCATTTGAAGAGGTTGCTAACATGAATCCCATAAATTCTGCCCAACATCCAATTGGAGATAAATGTTATTAGAGCTATGCTGTAGCCCTTGTTATTGAGAGGAGAAACAATAAGCCTAAATTGCAAAGTAAAATTGAAGATAGCGATAGAAATTTATATTGCTGTATCAGTTGTCCAAACCTTGGGAGATTGAATAAACAAATAACAATGAATCATGCATTGGCGATCCAATTTCTGTTGCAGTTCTAAGAGTTAAATGAGGACCTGTTCTTCTAGAAATAGGACTTCTGTGTATCTTTATTGGACAGGCTTTTTTCCCCTGTTCCAAGGCCTCTTTAGTAGGTATGGGATGAGGGAGCTAATTAACAGGAGAAACAAGTCATCACATTAATCACAAGCATTGATCCTTGGAAGAGAAGGAACCTTTAAAAGGGTCAACAAGAAACGTACAAAATAGTAAAAGTTATGGGTTGAACGTTATGGTAAAGACACATAAAAAAAGATAAAGGCATGAGTGTTGGAGAGCATGGTAGAGATAGAATCAAAGATAGAATCAAAGATAGAATCAAAGATAGGCAATTATGTCATTCTACAAATGTAAAATTCAGAATTAAAGCAAAAACATTTCATGATGAATAAGACTAAAGTGTGATATCTGTGAAAAAGGTTAGTATGTATTACATATTTTTACTGCTAACCTATCCCAAGTAATTTTGAATCTGCTTATAGTCTTCATTTTAAGTGAGAGAAAGCTGTCACAGTTCATACTTTTAAAAAATTTATTCTCCAGGTAGTTTCTTATCATTGTGGTAATTCCCCAAACAATCAGAAGAGCTGAAGCAGATTAAGTGCCTTGTGTTTATTAATTTGGCTGGAGTCCTAGATTTCAAAGATGCCATCAAAACCTGGCTTTTTCTACAGGCTTTGAAGATGAAAACGTTGTGAGCATCTTTCTCCTGTAATTTGGAGATTAATGGTTCCCTGGTTTTTATTTTAGTCCTAGGGATATGCTTTGTATTGTACCTATACACGTTTTAGGTTTTGTGTGTTATTTTAATTAAGATATTTTGGAAGATATTTTATATTAGTGGGTGGGTGGATATTATATAAAAACTGTGCCTGCAAATCCCATTTGCGAGTATTGGTTGAAGTGGAAATTAATTTTAGGATCTTTTCAATTAACTGAGGTCCCAATGGGAAGTAAGACACAGGATTTAGATTAAAATGATAACCATCTCTGTATATCTTGATGTGTTTATTTTTTTTGAAGTCAGATGCTTTCTGGGATGCTGCACATATTTAGGATGTTGTAACCATGTATAACTAAATTGGGAGATTGGCACATTAATAAAATGGCTGCCATGGTGGTTATGGCTTTCCTTTCCTATCCTATCCTGTCCCGTCTTGCCCTGCCCTGCCTCCAGATGTTCCTGTTAAACCTTTTAATCTCTCTTTTTTTCTGGTTAGTTGGGCATATTTCTAAAGCAATCCTACTATGACCCTACTATTTTTGAAAAATAATAAGTAATAATAATGTTACAACTTCATTAAATTTATTTATTTAGATTTCTAAAAATAATTCTGAGATCAATGACCAATTGTATTCTTGAATATATATATGTGGTTTATTTTATGATCCCCACAGGAACCATGCATAACCAATACACAGTATAACAAAAGATGTAGATTTTCAAAAGTATAATTCATGCAGACTTTCTCATTCATTGATTTGCTTTCTAATTCATTGTAAAAATGATACTGTGTGTTTGTTTTAAGCAGAGCAGACCAAATGGATAGAAATTCTAGGACAGTAGTGAAGTAAAAAGTAGAAGTGCCTTCTCTGTGGGGGCACCTACTATCTGGAACGAGCTCCCCCCGGAGATACGGAGGATCCCGGATCTGCACACTTTCCGCCGTGCTCTTAAGACCCTCTTATTCCAGCAAGCCGGCCTGGCCTAATTTTTCTTCCCTTTCTTTTAAATCTTTTAAATTTTTAAACTGAAATTTTAATTTGTTTTAAATTATTGGGATTTTAATTGTCGTGGGCTAAATTATTTAATTTGGTTTTAAATTGTTTCTAGCTTTTGTATTTCTGTATTTTATCCTGTGCCTGTTCACCGCCCTGAGTCCTTCGGGAGTAGGGCGGTATACAAATTTAATAAAACAAACAAACAAACAAAACAATTTAACATTTGACCTCTGGTAAATCTGGATTAAACCAGGCAATGAAATATATTTAGATCAGATTCACCACATTAAACAATTATGTTTAGCTGTGGTTTATTAGATAATTTAAAATTGATTAGCTAAAATTGATTAACATTGTCCTTAGCTATAAACTATAGCTTACAAATGTCTCTGGAGATTTTTAGTCATCCAGGTCATGGTTGTTGCAAAAGTGCTCTTTTCAAGAGGCAACTGGACTTTCTGGTTTTTCTTTGAAGACGTTTCGTTCCTCATCCAAGAAGCTTCGCTAATAAGACTAGATGGTGGAATTACCCCTCTAAGAAGCTAAACGTCTTCAAAGAAAAACCAGAAAGTCAGTTGCCTCTTGGAAAAAAAGCACCTATAGTTTACAAACCACATTGGTTAAGTTCACACAATGCTAAGCTACAAATATGTTAACCTATTCCCAGACAGCAAATTGACTTTTTCTAATGATAAACTAAGAGTATCTAAAGTATACTGGAAGATTCTGGAAGATTCTCGTAAGAAGGTGATGGAACAGCAAGAAACTATTTTAGAAGAGCCAAATTAGGCTGAAAGACACACCTCAATCTTTGAGAAGAGAGGTGCTGAAAAGTTTTCAATCCTTGCAGTTTGAGAAATTTGATTTGATTTTCACTAATGAGAGACTAATCCCAATTTTAAGAGACATGCCTTTGAGTTCTTCGTTCAACAATTAAGAGGTTTTTTTTTCCATCTAATCTAGTATACTTCTGATTAACACAACTATAATTCTCATCATTCCAATAGATTGGAGGGGAGTCTGATTGGGAGAAAATAGTCATTTCCAGTTTTATAAGGTTTGTTATGCAGCACAATATTTAGATTTATTTTATATACAGTGTTTCTTGTAACACTATTGCACAAATGTCTAATAACAATTGTGCAATAATTTTTGTCTTCTACATGGATAGAAAAATGGTATTTTTAAATATATATTAAACCAGTAGGCTTGCCAGTCCATATCTTAGCAGGAAGGTTTTGGAAGGTGAAAAATATGGGAAAGGTATTTTAGGAGCATGTTTAGGCATCTGGGAATAAATAATCCCAGAAAGGAATTAGGACTAAATTTAAATTTTGAAAATCTAGTAAATCGTAACTTTTCTGGGGCAATTTCTCGATTATCTTAATATGGAAACATCTCATATGGAATATCATTACTTATAGATATCTGCAAAAAATTGGGTTCATTTAAATATCTAACCTTTAGTAGCAAAAACATGGAATTGTTTTTTTTGCCACAGAGACACTACTTGGTGCTAACCCTACACTATAACTGAGATAAAAAAAAGTAAATTGGAATAAATGAGAGGAAAAAAACGGAGGCCCACAAATGAAATTGTGGAACTTTAAAAAAATAGTTGGTCTTAACATGGGGTAGGACGGGGATGGATGGACAGGTCTTGCACCTCCACTGCCATTTTTTCCCCGTTAACTGGAAAATTAACTGGAATAAATGAGCACTGGAGTCAATTACGTATTCCATTGCATATTCACAGCATAAGGCTTCCATCACAGTACTGGCTACTTCTGCACAGTTGCAGGGATATCCACAGGGTGTTTATATATAGTAAGTCTAATAAGTCAGGTTAATTGACTGAAGTTCTTTATTCCCACAGGAGAAACTGAAAGTGGGCCAGTGATTAACCCTGCAACACAGATTGCCCAGGTAAAAAAAAAAAAAAGAGCAAAATGCTTTAAAGAATCCCAGATATATAAAGAATTAGCGAGGCTTTTGAAATCTCAAAGTGTAATTCAAACTAAATTTTAAAAATCAATACAAAACAAACTAATCAGAATTATTTGATATATTAATTATACTAATAAGAAATATTTTTTTATATTTAAAACATTCTGTTTTATGGAGTTTACCTAGACTATAACAACTTTTTAGGGCATGTGTAGATTATATATTTCCCTGCCCTTTTCCTATAATACACTGAAATAGAAAGGGATTCTGATGCACATATGCAAAGCTACCCCATTGGATATCTACCAGACCAAGACAGACCACAAAGTACAGAAATCTCAAGAAATACTAATGTTTAAAATCCATTATTTTCAATTGGATTTAAGGCTATTCACACGATGAGATTTCTGAAGTGGAGACAGTAAAAGGGAAGAGTGGAATAAGAAGAGCCTAAATGCTTGTGAATATACACAAGCCATATCATTCTACAGAGAGTGTCTATCCACCCTGTTCTTGAATACATTTAACGAATAGAACCCAATACCTATATGATGGCCTTAATGCATGTGGTCTCAAAATAATCTTCAGCGCCAAGCATCATATTACAAGGTTGTTGTTGCAGTACTTTGTGCAGGGTGGTTTAAGATACTAGGTGCCAGCGTTCCAGAAAACCCCCAACTCTCAGTAAAGACACGGAAGCAGGCATTTTCCAAAGTTCTCTTTATTCAAATAGGTAAACTAGCACATCTGGGAAATCCCGAATCTGAAAAGCCCAGGCTTTCCTTCAGTATTTATTTATTTATTGGTTCGATTTATATGCTGCCCTTCTCCAGAGACTCAGGGCGGCTTACAATGCATTAAGCAATAGCCTTCATACTTTTGTATATACCTGCTTAGTAGGGCTTTCGCCCCCCCCCAAGCGGTGTTCTTTTTTATACAAAGTCAGCTTATTGTCCCCACAAACCGGGTCCTCATTTTACCTACCTCAAAAGGATGGAAGGCTGAGTCAACCTTGTGCCTGGTGAGATTTGAACTTGCAGTAATTGCAGGCAGCTGGTATTACTTAACAGCACTTTAGTCTGCTGCGCCAACAAGGCTCTTATTCGTAATTCAAAGCTCCCAAAACCATCCCCTTTCTCCCCAATCAATCACATGTTCCAATCAACGTCCATTCCACCTCGACCTAGCCCCTGACCACTCCTCCTCCAGATGCTGGATCGCCCTGATCTTGACCGATAGGAAGAATGCTATTATGTCTACTAATTCCCCTCTCCTAAATCCCCCCTCCTACTTCCCCCCCCCTACTTTCCCACACATGAGCAACATTGAAGCTTCCGGCCTAATATGGCTTCCAAAGCTGACACTAGGTTTCTCTGGCACATTTTTGAGGGGCTTGTAATTAAAAAGAAACAGAGGAATCGATGAAGAAACAAGTAGAATGCACAGGGAGAGAGTATTTATTGTAATTCTTTGTTTTTGTGATATATCACAGTAGGCTTGTTCTGGGAAAATGATGGATGACATGTAATACCCAGGTACCTGTACTTATTATTGGATTTCCCCATTAACTATGCGGTCCTGAAGGGAGTTCAGCAAAAATTAGTGAAGTACAGTATATGTTGATTATTCCTTGCATTGGGAATGGTTCCAAATTATTTTCAAGAAAGTTATAAGAAATAAGGGAGAATTTCTCTTTAGGAGGGTGCATTTTTAGCTGAGTTTATGTGGCAGAGAGAAAAGGGTGGGTTTTTGGTTTTTTTTGAGGATTTGCATTGTATTGCATTGCATTTGCATCCCATTGCAGAAAAAGCAATTGATTTTAAATAAGAAATAATTAAAATTGTCATTTTTTTCAAAATTTCAGATTTCCAATTTTTAAAAAAAAAAAAATGCAGTAAAACCAACCACCACCACCTTTGGCTTATTCACCTACTTGTCTTTTAAGCTGCTATCTAAGGGTCAAAGTCAAACCACTTTAAAACCTAATCAACTTTCTTCCCAAAAGAACGGGATGAGGGAAACCTGATAAATGTACTGTAGTAGTTTTGAAGTATTAGTGGCTTGTGATGAATGGCAAGCTTCAGTGTATGAGGTAGACTAGAGGATTGCTTTTTGATACAGGAGAACAGTAGATTTCAATTGTTTCATTCTGCTCATGCTTGGTCAATTCTTTTAGCTTCCTGATTGGAGGACTGAAGACACCTGGGGTGTGTGGCAGTTTACACGCATTGTTTTCTACATTAACACAGAGAGTTCTGGATTCTAGAGAAAGGATTGTACTATAGGATGGATGTTTACTAATTTCTGAAGAGTGATTTATTTAAGGTGAGGAACTTTGCTAGAACTTGGAGTCATCAAATCCGTGTGAAGCTGAGATTGCAATAACTAGTAGAAAAACAATAATATTCTAGAGCGAATGCAGCACTTCAATGCAATCCCAAGAAAGGCTGCTTCTTCTAGAATAGAAGCAGTTTCTAGTGTGATTTTTTTTATTTATTTTTTTTATTTGATTTATATGCCGCCCTTCTCCGGAGACTCAGGGCGGCTTACAATGTGCTCAGCAATAGCCTTCATCCTTTTGTATATTTATACAAAGTCAGCTTATTGCCCCCACAACTGGGTCCTCAATTTATCTACCTTAGAAAGGATGGAAGGCTGAGTCAACCTTGAGCCTTGGCGAGATTCGAACCTGCAGTAATTGCAGGCAGCTGGTCTTAATAACCAGCTTAATAACAGGGTGCCTTAGACCACTGTACTACCAAGGCTCTTGGTAATTTTAACTGAATAGATAAAACTGATGTTAACCCTTCCATTTAAGAGCGTTGTGGTGTGGTTAAAAGAGTCAAAATTGAAGCTCCACCACTTTTTAATTTATGTATGTGTCTGTGATGCATGCAACACACCTAAAAAGAGTTCTTGTGATTTTAACAGCCACAGATTTTTTTTCAGCCTCTTGTAGATATCCCAGTTTATCATGTCTCATCCTTTTAATTTATTCACTGTGTTTATAGATTTTATAGGAAATTTTATAAGGAAGAGTCTTTGTGGTATAAATCTGACAAATTGATAATCAAATATGTAAAATCAATTTTTGCATTGATTGTAGCCATACTAATTCTTGGTGCTCAAAATCTAATTGCTAATCTATGTTCTGATATATTAAAACATATAATTCTATATGTATATGTCTGTCAGATAGGTGCACATTTCATTCAGGTAGAAGGAAAGCATCAGGTGGCTCTTATGAAAATTCACAAATGTTGCCTATTCAGTCTTTATTCCCAGTATAGCCACCAGTAGGCTAATAAAAACTGTGAATAAAGGTTATATTGCAATAGATAGTTGTGTCATCCTGTCTGTAATTCAAGACCATCACCTTGTTTTGAATCGACTAGCTTGGACTATGCATTACTTATTGTAGATCTGGCCTGTACAGTTTATTGCCTGTAAATTTAACATAGCTGAACAAGTTTTAACTCCCCAAGGACATGATGAAAGCCAGTTTAATGTGATAGTTAAAGCATCAGGCTAGACACTGGGAGACCATAAATTCTAGTTTCCTTGGGCATGAAACCAGCTGGGTGTCCTTGAACCAGTCACTTTCTCTCAGCCCTAGGAAGGAGGCAATGGCAAACTATTTCTGGAAAACCTGCCAAGAATACTGCAGTGTTCAGGCAGTCTCCAAGGACTGGGCATGATTGAATGGAAGATAAGAAAGGCACATGATAATCTACTACCTGCTTAGACTTTCACACCATTTTTGTCACATGATTAGCAATCCACTATGCATGGCTGATGAGCTGCTATGCTGCCTGGTTTGGTATGAAACTGGCCAGTGTAGTGTAGTAGTTAAGATGTTGGACCAGCAATGGGAAGATCTCAGTTCAAGTCTGTTCTTGGCCACAGAAGTTCACTTGATGGCTTTTTGCCAGTCATGCACTTTTAGTTTAACCTACTTTGCAGGGTTAATATGGGGGAAATATTGGAAGAAGGATTGCTATGTATATTGCCTTAAGTTCCTGAAGGAAAGGTGGAATAGAAATTTAACAAATATGTTTTTTACTGGGAACACCTGAAGAATATAGATACTGATCAGGCAAACAGGTTATCTTGCACAGCATTCTGCTTCCTACATCTGTTCCTAGTATTGCTACTTCCTAAAAGCTGTGGAATAGTTTTTGTTTTTTTTTAAATTTGATTTATATGCCGCCCTTCTCCGGAGACTCAGGGCGGCTTACAATGCGCTAAGCAATAGCCTTCATCCTTTTGTATATTTATACAAAGTCAGCTTATTGCCCCCACAAACTGGGTCCTCATTTAACCTACCTTAGAAAGGATGGAAGGCTGAGTCAACCTTGAGCCTGGCGAGATTCGAACCGGCAGTAATTGCAGGCAGCTGGTCTTAATAACAGAGTGCTTTAGACCACTGTACTAACAAGGCTCTTTGTAGTTTGAAAGATGGTGACAATGCATACTACATCCTAGTATGCATCCTAGCAATCCTAGAGGGCAATAAATCCAGCCCCTTGTATTATTATTTATTACTATTTATTAAATTGTTATGCCATCCAGCTACCCTATAAGATGACTCTTTTCTTCCACATTACTTTCATTTAGAATAGAATAGCATAAAAAGTTATTGTCACTTTAAATGTATACTAATCAGCATGAATTAAAATTAAATTTCATTGCATTCAGATCTCAAAAGATAACCATTATGCATATACCCACCCACACACACACACATTTATGACACAGAGAAACATCACAGTCTAGTTCGAATGTATACATATACATGGTGAAAAAAAATCAATCCTGCGAATTTACAAGACGGATGGCATAAGGAACAAAGATTCTGTTACAGAATCTAGTAGTCCTGCCACATTTGGTACAGTTTGTAATTTGTGGGTTGGAAATTTTTGAGACAAGGTGGAAAATCAGCTTTTCCATCTGGAGAACAGAGTGGAAGGCATATATATGCATACTTCCTGAAATAGAAGCATAGCTATGGGAAGCTCAAGGTTGACTTAGCCTTCCATCCTTTCAAAGGTAGGTGAAATGAGGACCCAGATTGTGGGGGCAATAAGTTGACTTTGTATAAATATACAAAAGTATGAAGGCTATTGCTTAATGCATTGTAAGCCGCCCTGAGTCTCTGGAGAAGGGCGGCATATAAATTAAAGCAAAAAAAAAAAGATACCTTTTTTCTGTGATTTGTTAGGAGCTTAACTTTTTTGGTTACAACTGAGGCACCATCATTGAATTGCAGGTGGTGGCAATGAGAGTGGAAAGAGTGTGTTTAGAGGCAGGTCTGGAAATTTCTCCATTTTGATCGGACTTTGCAAACCTCCCTCTCCAGAGTGAAAACTATTTCTAATATATTTAAATGACTGGTCAGTGAGACCAGTGAGACTTCAGTAAGATTAGTACCATTTGTAAGAAATGTCTAATTCTGTGGGAGAGACATGCTGTAGATATTGGATTCACTTCTTGATATGTCAAATAGAAAGGTTGAGAGCAGATAATGAGTAAAATCTTTGTAGAGATTTCATAGAACAGCCTCTGCCTGAAAATTTGTTTTGGTTGCAACATCCATAAACCACAAGGGGCCTGCTAGTGTGCTTGTTGGAGTTAATGAAATTGTAAGCCAATTCTTGCAGAAGAAGAATGGTGGAAATAATTATAGACTTGATCAAGAGTATCAGTCATCAACTCCTGGGTGATAGCTCTCCATCCACATTTCTATAACCTCCAAAGCTACTCCTATTATTAATTAAACTGAACATTAAATGTTGTTATTTGAGGTAGGAAACAAAAATCCTAATCCTAAACAAAAAAATCAAAATAAGTTTAAGATAATATTTTTTAAAAAGAGCCTCGGTGGTGCAGCCGACTAAAGTGCTGCTAAGTGCTAGCACTTAGCTGCCAGCTGCCTGCAATTAGTGCAAGTTCGAATCTCACCAGGCTCAAGGTTGACTCAGCCTTTCATCCTTTCGAGGTAGGTAAATTGAGGACCCGGATTGTGGGGCAATATGTCAACTTTGTATAGAACAACACCGCTTTGGGGGGGGGGGCGAAAACCCTAATAAGCAGGTATATACAAAAAAGTATGCAGGCTATTGCTATAATGCATTGTAAGCCACCCTGAGTCTACAGAGAAGGGCAGTATATAAATTGGACTAATAAATAATAAATAAAAAAATAAAAAAAGAACAAAATAACAGCCATGCCACCTTAACACTTTTTTATGGTAGCCTTCACCCACTCCATGTATTATATCTACGGCCTCCTTTCCTTCTGTCGTGAGTTGAAGACGTGTGGCTCTTTTGTCAACTTAACTGATCCACTATGGGTGTACATTGTTATAATTTTAAACTATTTTAATTGGGTTGTTGATTTTAATTTTATTGTGATTTGTATTGGATATTGTTTTTATAAGCCGCCCTGAGTCCCTCGGGAGAATGGCGGCATATAAATCGCAATAATAAATAAATAAATAAATAAAATCTAGCCCCTAGTCACTAGTCGCACATTAGGGAGGAAATGTCATAATTAAGAGAAGACTGTATGGCTTAAATTATAGAATCCATCTTGTTTTCCAAGTCACTGAGAATTCATGTGGGTTTTGGCTCATCAGTTGCAGGCTCTGGCTTCTGAACTTAAAAGTAGCTTCACGGAAGCAATGCAGGAACTTTCAAGAATTCAACATGGAGAGTATGCTCTTGAGGAGAAAGTTCAAAGGTGCCGGTGTGCAATGGAGGAAAAAGTGGCCGAGATGAAAAATTCTCTAAATGATTTCAAGGTAGGCATGCAAGTATTCTGGGGCACTAGTTTTGGAAGGACAAAAACAGATGGCCTGCTACATGATACAGCATGGCAAAAGTTGAAAAGCTACAGTACAAAAGGACTATTTATTGACAAGGAGATGGCCTGGTGTGCGTTGAACAGGCTCATTCTTTTTCACAGGGTTATTAACAATTAGTGTAGCAAACAATAGTCTAACGTACCTTTGTGTTTAATTATAGCAGTATTCTATGCTACCCATAGGTAAATTAGCCTCTCTCAGCCTTCTTCAATTTGGCACATAACACGAGCCATTTGAAAAAGGGGTGGACAGATTTATTGCAAAGTGGGCTATGTTTTCCTTCTCTTTCTTTCTCCTACAATGCACAGTTCTGAGTTTTCTTAGTTATCTATGACTCAGGCAATCTCTTCCTTTGTTTTTTAAAAGAGTTTTTATCATCTCAATTAGTTGCATCTAGGAAAATGTTTCAATATACAACTTAATATTTGGGCAATTCAAGTTCCCAATGATTGCATAATACTTGCTCCTGATGAGAGAAACTAAATTTTTCCTGTCTCTTTCATAAAAAAAATAAAATCCAAAAATAATAGAGGGGAAAGAGGTGGTACATGGCTGCTTCATTTACTGTATTTTATTTTCTTCTTCTATAATATAACATGCACAAAAGTGAAAGAAGGAAAGGAAATTGACCCACTAATCATAGAGAAAAGAAAGTGGTCTCTGCTCTGTCAACCCTTCAGTTTCCATTGTAAATTCTGCCATCTTCTATCTCACGCTGACTTTGCCTTCCTTTCACAAATGGGACAAATGCAAAGCAAATTAAATATTGGGGATACCCCTATTTTTAAAATCCTGTTAGGATATGCTGGGATAGATGACGTTATCATTTATACCACAAGTAGATGGACTGTGCAACCCAGACCATTATTAAAAATCAATAGTACAGCTTTTCAACACAATTCCAAAATGGGAACTGGGCTGTATAGGTGTTTCTATTGTAGTAAGTAGATCTACTATTGAAATGATGTACATTTATAAATACTTCTTTCTGACTTGATGTAAATAATTACAAATCTGGGTTGCATTTCCTGTAAGAGTGAGTTTAAATGCAAAGCTGCAAACGTTTTCATGTCACCTGTCAAAAGTTACCATTTTTTAAATAGGAGGAGCTTAATGATGCCAAATCTATGATTGAGGAAATTAGCACCAAACAAGAAGAGATGCAGCAAAAAATTGAGCAGCTGCAACAAGAGAAACGGAAGGAATCTCGCAAACTCAAAGTGAAGTAAGTGACCAATATTTTTCAAAGCCCTTTATAATTTCAGAACAGCTTTGGGTTTACAGCTCTTCTTTTCTCTTATGTAATGTATTAGAATCAGACTTTCCAGGAGCTTGGGAGGAGGGGTGGAATATAAGAAAAAGTAAGTATGTAATGTAATATTTACTTGTTTTTATTCCACTGAACCCCAGCTCCTAAAAAGTCTGATTCCAATATATTATATAAGAAAAAAGAAGGGAGGGTCCATCTAGGTGGCTGAAAATAAGGGGTGTAGTTTAATAGGGTGGGTACCATATTGGGGAAGTTATATTTTTTAATTTAGCACATTTATTCAGCTATGGGCCAGAGGGCAAGAGAGCGGCTGAGGGATCATTGTGGCTCCTGGTCCCCTATTAGATACTGTGCTGACATGAAGAAAGCAGTGCAATACCAAGTTAGCCATAATCAATGGTTTTAATTTGCTGATGTCATATGGAGCATTACTATTAATACACTATAGAATACAAGGAGACAAAAGTGTGTGTATTGATGTTGCTACATTTAGAGTACTACAGTGCCATTGATGTGAGCCCCAAAGCAGCCATTGTATCTTCCCAGAGATATCGCTTGGCTGTCTTGCTTTTTAATATTTTTCTTTCCTCAGAAGGATTCAAAAAGAGGAGCATGGTTCCCAGACTGTGCCTACTCCTCTGCAAGGAAGCCCCTTTCGAGCCCTGAAACTTCCAGAGCCAGTTTTAATTAATGAAGATTTTGTCAAGCTTTTGCACAATGCAACGTATGAGAAAGGTACTGGTTTTATTGGCTTACATATCTTGTTCTATTATGTGTACCAGAGAGCGACTTACAGCGTACGAAAGGGCTTTCCTCCCTTATTTCTGTTTTCCTGTTCCTGAGCCTTTGCTTATCTGGAGGAACTGTGCACTGGGCATGGTAATCCTGAGACAGCAAATTGCCCAGTATTTTTGTTTTTTATTATTGGAGCTTAACCTTTGGGGAAACGAAGGGCCATTTAACGCTTTGCTATGTGTAATAAAGAAAAATATTTTATATCACCGCTGCTTCAAAAAGATGCCTATCTGTCTCTCCTCTTCCATATATGAGCAGTGTATAGTATGAAGTATGGTATGTTGCAGTAAAGGAGAATATTTGTAGGACAGAGTTGTAATGTTTGCTTAGGATGCATGTTTCTATATCCATCTGCAAATGACTGTGTTCATGGTTACAATTCTTTTCAGACTCGTTTGCTTCTTTTTGGGAACTCTTTTCCTTAGCAATTTTGGCTAATATTTGCTGGAGGACAGGCTGTTGTCAAACTGATACAGCTGTCCCAGAAACATATTTTAATATGGTACAATGTGTACTTTCCAACACAGGGAGCATTTAATTCAGACTACAGCGGTTCCCTGCATGTGCAGGAGGCTGGTCGGGTGAGGGGGGAAACAAACAATGAAAAATATAGCCTTTTCTGACAGAGACCTTTTGCTGGGTAAATATAACAAAGCAAAAGGCTAGATAGTTAGACTACCGAGGGAGGAGGGAAGAATGAATACTAAGAAATGTACAACTGAGAAATTATTGCTTTAGCTTTGGAGAGTGGATATGGAAGAGGAATTATAATAAATTTGGGAAATTTGATAGGAAACAAGAATAAAGAGAGCATAATTAACAAAGGACTCCTCAAAAGAAGAAGAATGTAGTTTCTAGCTCTATGTTGGTGAATACCTGGGTTGAACCAAGATTCACAAAAGAGAGGTAGTGTTGTTAAAAAGGTAATTTCCAAGTGTGCCAAAATATTAAAAAAGAAAATAGTAATAGCTCTTAGCAATAGCACTTAGACTTATATACTGCTTCACAGTGCTTTTCAGCCCTCTCTAAGTGGTTTACAGTCAATATATTTTCCCCAACCATCTGGGTTCTCATTTTACTGCCAGGGAGGACGGAAGGCTAAGTCAACCTTGAGCCAGTGAGAATCAAACTGTTGAACTGCTGGCAATTGACAGTCAGCGAATTTGCCTGCAATCCTGCATTTTAACCACTGCACCACCATGGCTCTCTTTACTGAAAAGGAATAACCAAGCTTATTCCTTTTTAGTAAAAATGGAGAAATTTAAGTACAGTTTAAAGTTCTCTTGCAGGAAATCACTCAACATTGCCAAAATATTAGTTGCCATCTATGTATGACGTGGTGGCTCAGTGGCTAAGATGTTGAGCTTGTTGATCAAAAGGTTGGTAGTTCAACGGTTCGAATCCCTAATGCTGCGTAACGGGATGAGCTCCCATTACTTGTCCCAGCTTCTGCCAACCTAGCAGTTCAAAAGCACGTAAAAAATGCAAGTAGAAAAACAGGGACCACCTTTGGTGGGAAGGTAACAGCGTTCCATGCACCTTTGGTGTTTAGTCATGCCGCCACATGACCACGGAGACGTCTTTGGACAGTGCTGGCTCTTCGGCTTTGAAACAGAGAAGAGCACTGCCCCCTAGAGTTGGGAACGACTAGCACCAGGGGTGGGTTCTAAATTTTTTTACTACCAGTTCTGTGGGTGTGGCTTATTTTGTGGGTGTGGCTTGGAGGTCATGTGACTAGGTGGGCGTGGCTAGCTGGTCAGAGTCATTTCTGGAAGGTCCTCGCACTTACGACCCAACTCATTTGTTTGCTTTTAACACTGATCAGCTGTAGGACGGCCCTTTGAAGCCCCGTGGCAAGAGTTTAAACAGTTTTTTTCCCTCTAGTCATCAGCTGGGACTCGGGAGGCAGCAATAGATTGGGGGTGGGACCAAATAAAAGGTAAGAATAACGTGGGGGGTGGGGGGGTGGGAGGGCAGGGGGAAGAACCGGTTCGGTGACGTCATATCGTCACTGCTACCGGCTCGGCCAAACCGGACCGAACCGGGAGGAACCCACCACTGACTAGCACATATGTGCGAGGGGATCCTTTACCTTTACTTTTTATGTATTGTTACTATTCCCAGAACAGAAGTTATTGATGGTTATTGATGCTTTGAAAAAGCCCTGCATTATTGCATAACAGGACAGTCATGACCTTGTCCCTTATCTCTTTATTAATTAACTTTCTAATTATCTTCCCAAGCAGATTTATACAATATTAACTTTTTCATTAGACAATATCTGAATTGCCCAGCAAAAAGGGTGACAGTAATGTAGCCATGTATCATTCCTTGAAATGAAGGACCATATAAGTGCGTTTAATGGTGTCAATAGCAGCTTGGATACAACCATATGCCATACAAGTCTTTTTATGAAGGAGGGGCCATTCTAGGAAGTAGAATTTTCCATTCATTCAGAATTTCTCAACCTTAGCAACTTTACAATGTGTAGACTTCAACTGTGAGAATTCCCCAGTCAGCACTAAAGTTGAGAAACACTGTACTAGATACATATAGGTATTAATTAATTAATGAATTCTTAATTTGCCACATTATTTCCAAATTGGTCTTTCACACAAGCAATCAGTAATGATAAATATCAAGACTGAAATTCACAGAAACAAATTTTAGAAACCAAAATTTTGGAAAGATTTTTCTCAGTTTTAATCTAAAAATTAAATCTAATTTTTGTATAAAAAGTTTGTTTTATTGATCTTTCCTTGCCTGTAACCTAATCTCTTGTTTTTGCTCAGTCTCTGATTGCATGCCTAGAACACTAGGAGAAAGCAATATGAGAGGTGAGTGGATCTGTCTTTTTTTATAGATAATGTTTTCTGATAAGTATTTTCAAGACACCTGTAAAACACCAACACTGTTAATGAATAATGTTGTATAATTCTGTATGTTCTGCCTATTAAACAAAGGCAGTGAACTTCATAAGATGCAGACCAAGGAATCAAGGTTTAAAAGTTTTCCTGTTGAGATAGAGAAGCAAGTTTTTTTAGCATCTGTAGAACTATTTCCAAAGACCATAATCTAGGTAAGCCCTACCAGTCTATGATGTACTTTGGCTTGTTAATAATTAGTAGGTATTTCTCAGTGGGTTTGCTTATGAAATTATTTTTCTTTAGGAAGCTTCTTAGACTATTGCTGATTCTCCAAGTCTGAGTTTCAGTCATTTGGATTCAAGGGATTTATGATGAATTCTGCTGCCAGATCAGTCATCTACCTACTTTCCTTGAAGACTTCCTTATAAGGAAAAATTACAATTGTTGAAATTTTGCAGTTTAGAGTGAAGAAAAGACAAGATACAAGTATATAAAATATAAAATGTATCTACAGTAATATGTTTTTCTCCATCTCATGGTCTAAAACTTGGGATCATTCATTGAATTTAATGCAGACATATTCAGGACTAAGGGAAGTATATTATGGTATTTCCTTAAACATCACATAGTTAAATTTGGAAATAATTGCCTTCAGATATGGTGATAGCCACTAGTTTAGATATTTTTAAAAGAGAATTGGGCAAATGTATGGGAAAGATGTTGAAACTATGGTTGAGTCTGTCTGTGTGTTGTGAAATTAGGGAGTTTTCATTGTATCTTCTGACTGCTAGTTAGTGTTCATCGATGTACTTTGCTAGTCTCCTGTCAGTCTTACGTAGTGGCTGTTATAGTCTTTACATTGTATGTTGTCATTGACTCTTTTATCCTCTTCTTGGGCTACTGGGTCTTTTGGTTTACCAAAGATGTTTTGGAAGGCTTTATGTGCTATGTTGATGCCTTGTAATAGTCTGTTGGTTGTTTCTGAGATATTTTGATGTATGGTAGTGTTATCCTTTCCATAGCTTGTATTGGTTGTGCTGTACTGGGTTGAGTAGTCAGGCACTTTTTGATAAAGTTGTCTGGCTATCCATTTTTTAGATAATATTGTATAGACAGTCTGTTTCCTTTTTCTGGTGTTCTGGGTTGTTTTAGTGCATTTGTGCTTCTATAAATTCAGGTTTCTTTTAATCTGCATGCAGATTTTTATGTAGATACTAACATTAAAATAATTCTGATAAAAAACAGGAGTTGTTCAAAGATAAAATAGGAAAGTCTGTGTGAAAATCATGAACTGAAGCTTGACTGTAAGTTACAATTGTTCTACATGAACTCCTTTGAGAACTTTTGCAAAAAAACAAGAAATACTATGAAAATGGCACAACTTTCACAAGGCCTTCCAAATGTCATAATAAAAGATCTGTTCAACTTTCTCTTTTCCTGGAGAAATTTAGATAGATTGAGAGATGTGAAATAGGTAAGTATTTAAAGTTCTTGCATCCCAAAGGTTGACATGGCTTCAAGGATTTGCACAATAGAGTAGTTTAGAGTAGTTTAACAGGCCAAATGGCCACTAAAACTATTCCCACTAACACCATGTTCTAATTTTAGGTGTAACCAGTACAAATCTGGACAGAGAAGAGAACTTCACAGTTTCCTCTTCAGGCGATGCTCCATCAAAAGGCCAGACATCGTCAACAATATGGAAACAGGCCAAAGACAGTAAAGAGAGGAATGATGAATATATTTCAAAGAACCTCAGCGATCGGCAGAGGGATGTGGCTCCAAGTAGATATAGCTCAGTAGAGAATTTGATGTGGGACTCTCCTGTTGCAGGTGAGAAAAACAGAAATGGCCAGGAGACCCCCTTATTTATTTATTATTTAATAATAATAATAATAGTTGCCAAGCATCCAAATTTTGATCACATGACCATGGGGATGCTGCAGTGATAGTAAGTGTGAAAAATGGTCCTCAAGCACTTTTTTCAGTGCCGTTGTATGTAACTTTGAGTGGTCACTAAATGAACTGTTGAGGACAACCTGTAATGCAGACCTCGGTATTCTGAAAGAAGTTGCCATGGCAACTGGTTAAGTCTTTGACTTTCCTGTTTGCTAATATTCTCTTATATTGAGAGTTTGTTTAAAAACAAGTGGCATGATAATGTGTCTTAATCTAGCAAACTAAAATTATCTTTGTTCTGTCATAGCTAAAAGGCAAAATATTGCTTTGGATTTATTAGAGTCTGAAAGAAAGTATGTTGTCAGCCTGTCTCATATTCTGAAAGTTAAATCCACATTGCAAGGAACAGAAGTGAAAAGAAATACAAAGGAAAGGTATAGTATTCCTTGTACTTTCTTATATACTATGATTTTCTTTGGGCACCTGAATCAAATTTTCTTTTAAAATATCAGTATTTCATTCTCTCTAGACTTCCCTTCATTGGCCATCTGTCACCTGCCTGTTGGGACCCATCTTTTATTATAGAGATGGGCCCAAATGGCTTTTCAGAGTTCTCTACTACATTTATGAGCAGTAGAATTGGGTGGATGATTTCTCAGTATTTCTTCACAGAAAGGATAAATTATCAACAGTGATAATTTCATGGACAGAATTCCCCTTTGTGGCAACAGCAATACCACAATTTAAAAAGTAATTCCATGAAGAAGAGCTTTCCCCCATGACTGTATTTAATGCTGCTGTTTCCCCACTTTTCTTTAATGAAAACTCAGAACAGCTCTGGGATCTGGATCTTACCATATACCTGCCACTTCCTTATAGAATCTTCAGTTGTACCACTATGAAATGAGTGTTGTCTCTTCTTATCCTGATACAGTCTTGCCAAAAATGCAATCTGATGCACTTCATCAAACATTCCAACTGTAATACAGTCAGATGACACCTAAAGGATCAAACCACATGATACCCTGAGGGTAGAACCTATTGGTCATTCTAGACTAATGTGGGCATTAGTCTTCCTTCTCTAGTTTCTCTACCTTCTAGAGCTCCAGTTTCTCTATCTTCTAATCTAGGCTCTACGTTCTAGGGCAACATTCCCCAACCTTTCTGGGTTGGCCCAGCACGTGTGTGTGTGTGTGTGTGTGTATGTGTGTGTGTGTGTGTGTAAGGGAGAGGGAATGGTTTTGTGTGAGAGGCAGGTTTGAATAAGGGGGGCTGCCAGCTCTGACACCCACCACTCACACTAGTGGGGCTTCTAGCACCAGCATCTGCTAATCAGACAAGTGGGGCTGCCAGTGCTGGCGCCTGCTGCTTGCACTAGTGGGGTTGTGCATGCACGTTGGCTCACCACTCACATGGCCCAGTTACGAATAGGCCACGGTCCAGTAGTGGGCCATGGCCCACAGGTTGGAGTCCCCTTTTGTAGGGCTATTCTGTTTTGGAGAACCTGATAGTTCTGCTCCTTCAAACCAGGTTATGTTCCTGTATCTACTAAATCTCTGAGCTGATACTTACTGGACTTTGAGAGAGTGATCAGCCTAAATAGCAACTGACTGATGATGTTGATGGTGGTTGGAGTTGAGAAATGCTTTCAAAATAGTATTAGATCTGTGTTTCAAAGGTCCTGACAAAAAGTGGGAAAGAGAGGGAGGGAGATTTCTGTTATTGGCCAGCTATTACCTCAAAGGGAGCACAGTTATCAGCTACAAAGAGCACCAAACACATGTTTGAAGAAGGTGGAGAATAACAGGAAACAAAGATACTCTCAGCCAATCTGATGATATGAAATGCTGTATAGTAAATCACTACTGAGGAAATGGCCTTAGATTAAAAAAAAAACTTAGATTTTTGGAATGGGGAGAAAGATTAATAACAGATTAGTTTGTTCTTAATCTTTGCCATTTTAATCTTTTATATTTATAATTTTTTATATATGGATTGTTACATTGTAAGCCTCCCAGAGACTGCTCAAACCACGAGAAAGGCAGCATATAAATTTAATAAATAAATAAATAAATAGATAAATAAATAAATAAATAATAAACATGCTCACTTCGTGCAATTGCCTCAGGTTAAATATTCCTTCAACTGCTTAACATTAAAACAAAATCAGCCAAAAATTACCATGGAATATCAGGGTCAGGCATGTTTCATCTTGGTGTTAAAATCTGCATTGCAAATTGTTCCTGGAATATTTTGTGCAGGTAGTTCTCGATTTACGACCAACATTGAGCCATTTCTGTTGCTAAGTGAGACATTTGTGAACTGAATTTTGCTCCATTTTATGACCTTTCTTGCCACAGATTGTTAAATGAATCACTGCAGTTAAATTAATCTGGGTTCCCCATTGACTTTGCTTGTCAGAAGGTCGCAAAAGGCGATAACATGACCCCGGGACACTGCAACCATCATAAATATGAGTTAGTTGTCAAGTGTCTGAATTTTGGTCACATGATCATGGGGACGCTCAATGGTTGCATGTGTGAAAAATGGTCGTAAGTCACTTTTTTCAGAGCCGTTGTAAATTGAGAACTATCTGCACTGTATATGTACTGTTCATATACGATATTATTTTAGCTACGTTATTCTGTATTTTTGCTAGTATATCTGTGAAAAAAACCCTCTTGTTCCTGTTTTCTGGTTGCAGTTTCTTCCCCAATTCTTTGCGCTACTTGGTCCAGCAACATGTAGAGTTACTTCATGCCTTGCAGGAAAGAGTGTTGAGCTGGCCTCAACAAGGAATCCTAGGAGACATATTTCTCAGATTGACCAACGATGAGGTATTTTTGAAGGAAAATAAATAATACCTGTTCAAGGAATTATTGTACTATGAATGACTCAAATCAATGTGTTTGCATAGGTGTATAGATACCTTTTTGGAATCTCTTATTGAAATACACTTGAATATTTCTCAAACTCTGACATATATTTTATATTTCCTAAGAGGGTTAATTAATTTGCATAATGAAACTTGCTTGTATAGTCTTGTAGTGCAGATGTAATTCCTATTTGTAGCAGAAAAGCACACAGGTAGTCCTCAATTTACAACCATTTCTTTACTGACTGAAATTACAACAGCACTGAAAAAAGTGACATGACCATTTTTCACACTTTTTTTAAAAATTTGATTTATATGCCGCCCTTCTCCGGAGACTCAGGGTGGTTTACAATGCGTTAAACCTATGACTGTTGCAGCAACCCCATAGTCACATGATCAAAATTTGGATGCTTGGCAACTGGCATGTATTAATCATGTTTGCAATATCCTTCTGATAAGCAAAGTCAATGGGGAAGGCAGATTAATTTAACAGCTGCAATGATTCACTTAACAACCATGGCAAGAAAGGTGGTAAAAATCAGGCAAAACTCACATCTTGCTTAGCAATGGAAATTTGGGACCCAACTGTGGTTGTAAGTCAAGTCAAATACAAGGACAGAGAGAGAGAGAGAGGAGAGAGGAGAGGGAGAGGGAGAGGGAGAGAGAGGGGGGGCGGGAGAATGCCCCATTTGGCTGGTTTTGAATACTAAATACTTTGATGTGTGGTAGGATATCATATGTGGCATTGCTTCCTGTACCTAAAAATCCAAAGAAACAGAATCCTATCCTTGACCTGTATTTGTAGATTTAAGGATAATTAGGAAATTGGTATCAGGCACATCTCTAAGAATTCTGAGGAACCTTTTTAATTTCTCTTCTCAGAACAGTTTTTTGGATTATTATATTGCTTACTTGAGGGACTTGCCAGAATATATCTCTTTGATCCATGTGGTGATTTTGAAAAAGGTGAGTTTTGGTTTGTTAAATAATTTGTTTCCTGCAATTCTATCATTTGAAGAGAAAACACTGCAATTGTTTCTGATTCAGACCCCTTTCTGCATGAATGATGTGGAAATTTTGCATGAATTGCAGGGAAAGAGCAGTCCTAGAGACACATAGGAACATAGGGGCATGTATCTGCCATTGAAAGAGATCCCACCAAGAGGATGAGCAACATACTGTATGTCCATCAGAGTTTTGCTGGTTTGGGAAAAATAGCTTAAATTTGTGAATGATCTCATTCCTATGGCAATTTTAAGAAAATGGGCTGTGGATGGATCTCTATCATCGCTTTGCAAGGGTTATAACCTTTACATTGCTTTTGTTTGGTTCTAAAATACACTATTAATATATTTTTTGTTTTTCTATTTCCACACTCCTAGTTACAAATTACAGGTTCACAGACATTCAGAACAGTCAGCCTTATCTGAATGAAAGTACAGAATCACATATGTAATGTCCAATATCTAATAAAATCCTTAGAGTTTCATTTTTGAATAATGTACAGTTTACGAACTGTCTTTGAAGACTGATCCATGTTAGGAGTACAATGCGGTACTCCTATTTCCAGCTTTAACAGTTCTTTTAAGCATAGAGATTTAGAAATAAGTAAACAGTGATTAATTTGCTAATTGTTACAGATACTAAATCCACATGCTTTCATGCATTAATTTAATAACTGTTGTTTAGAAAAAATATGCATCTATTTCTGCAATTAACAGAACTCATCTCTAATTTGTAAATGATTTACATTTGTTTTATATTCTCTCGTCAACAGATTGAGGAAGAAACCAAGTCTGATCTCTACCTATTTTTCTTCCATATTGTCCAACGCATTCCAGAATATCTTCTTCATTTGCAAGTAAGTTCTAATAACTTTCTTTGACCTTTCTTTAATTAACATGTGAGAAAGCTTTAGCCCTTCCAAATACAGTTGTATTATAGATCCTATCATGGTCAGTAGCTAGAAATAATGGAAGAGTTGTCCCATTATTTGGAGAGTCACAAGTTCCCCATCCCTGTGTTAATGGTTATACATTAGGAAATATCTCAATTCTTCTTAGATAATGTGGATTTTAGGAATACAGGAAGCTACAGTATGTTGTGTTGTCTTGCTACAGTGTTTTGGAAGAGGGTCTGTTTCACCATACAGCTCTCCATTCAGCTTTGGCCCTTTCAGAAGACTGTAGAATGCTGCCTTATATTGAGTCAGAACATGGATTCATCTAGCTTGGGACTGTTTGAAGGCTGCCACCCAACCCCATTCTTGTTGTTCCTAGCATTACAAGGCTTCAGTTGCAAAACTGCTGCTTTTTGATAATAAAGTTCTTGTGGGCTTTTTGTAAAAACAAAACAGCAAATTATACATATTTTGCTCCCTCAACCATACATGTGCAAAACAATATCACTGGACAATCAGTGTCCATTTCTCCTATAACTTCCAGACATTGAAAGAATGGAAATTCTTTAAGAGCCTTGGTGGCGCAGCAGACTAAAGCACTGTTAAGTAACACCAGCTGCCTGCAATTACTGCAAGTTCAAATCTCACCAGGCTCAAGGTTGACTCAGCCTTCCATCCTTTCGAGGTAGGTAAAATGAGGACCCGGATTGTGGGGGCAATAAACTGACTTTGTATAAAAAGAACACCGCTTAGGGGCCCCCCGAAAGCCCTACTAAGGTATATACAAAAGTATGAAGGCTATTGCTTAACGCATTGTAAGCCGCCCTGAGTCTCCAGAGAAGGGCGGCATATAAATCGAACCAATAAATAAATAAATAAACAAACAATAAATTATGACTTCCATCCAGCTCTGATGTACAATATAGCAATTGGCATTATATGCCCAAGGTTTAATTCAAGATATTTTCCCAGGTTATGAAGAGACCCTATAAGAGCTCAAAACTGAAAACCTTTTCCTTCAAAGCAAATGGTTTACTGGTGTGTTACAGTCCAAACTCAGGGAGAAAAAGGGGGCTTTGTCCTGGTAATTAATGTAAGGTGAATGTCATGATTTATCTCAATGAACTGAGAAGACGTTGAAATTTAATTCTGATTTCCTCCTTTTGTACTAGAACATCCTGAAGTATACTGAGCAAGAGCACCCAGATTATTATCTTCTTCTTGTCTGTGTTCAGCGCCTGCGAGTATTCATTTCTCATTACAGTCTTCTCTTCCAGTGCAATGAAGATCTGCTAATACAGAAACGAAAGAAACTGAGAAAGTGAGTTTGATGCCGAAGTGTAGCCTTTTTGTCCATTTTTATAAAGCTTTCTTTCCAAGAGCAAAATATATTTATATAACATTTCTCTTCTCCTTTGAGCTTCTCAAGTAATCTGAGACTGAGTTTGACTGAATGACTGGACCAGGACCATCCTGAGACTTAAGAGTGAATTTTAACCTGATCTTCCCAGCTCCTAATTAATTGCTACAGAATCTGAGAGTAGCAGTACTGTGCTGTGTTGGCTGTGCCCAACAGAGTACACAAAGTACTGGGGAAAGCATTAGCACTGCTGTGGGTAATCACAGTTCCCTTTAAAAAGGCACAAACATATTTCATAACCTGGCTATGTAAAGACATGTGAACAGCTTGGCTATCTCTGTCTTTGTTATTTTCAATCCTTCTCTATGCGCTTGCTCTCAATACATAAGGAGTGGAAGCCCAGGATAATGGGACTAATGAAGACAGAGCTCTTCTGTAGTATCAGGCATATGGAGCAGTTTCACTTTCAGTATCATTGCTGTGCCTGCTGCTGCTACCTTCATTTACCTGTCTAGAGGGAACTGGTAGAGGCTCCTCAAATACAGTAAGTCATCAGACTTACCTCAGAGATGATGTTAGCTCCAAATGAATTATGTGAGGTTGTGCTGGCTGGCATTGCCTTTCCATGGAGGATTTCTTCCTGTTTCTTTCTGCTCCTGCTTTGAACATTGTCCTATTTAAGAATGGAACACTACCATGAACCGTTGAGTTGGAGTTGCATGCAGTGTGGTGTGGATTGGATCCTTTTAACCATAACCCTGAAAGTGTTTTTAGTTCTGTCATCCTACAGTCCCAGGCATTGACAGTCTTTGGGAGGGGGTGGTCTGCTTTTCAAGGTCAGGTCTGCAGATTATGCATCCTGGTGATAGAGTGGATCTTTTAGGATCCATGGGGGCACAGTGGTTAGAATGCTATATCACATGTTAACTCTGCTCACAGACTGGAGTTCGAGCCAACTCAAGGTTGACTCAGCCTTCCATCCTTCTGAAGTCATTAAATGAGGATCCAGATTGTTGGGGGCAATATACTAACATTTGTAAACCGTTCAGAGTGCTATAAAGGACTGTGAAGTGGTATATAAGTCTATGTGCTATTGCTATTTCTCCATGATGGCACCTGACTTGTGGAATTACTTCCTCTTCAATGCCATTATGATCTTTTAAGTTTCTTTGTTGTTACATTTTCCACAGCCATTATTTTTTTTCCTTTTAATTGTTTTATTCCTTTGGAATCTTTGCAAAAAAGAGTAATACTGTAAATTATTTGGAATTATTTTTAATAGGTACAGAAATATATGAAGGAATAATAGAAATTTGATATTGTTCTATTCTAATAAAAGCCTGGTGCATAAATGAAAAATCAGGTGGATCTGCTCACTACTTTGCAAACTGAATCCTTGTTTAGCTTTTTTTCCTCACACAATGTTAAATTCCACTTGGGAGATTCATCATATTGTTTCAGTTATACTTTAATGGCATTTCTTGAAAAAGCAGCATCAGTTCTTGAACTTCTAAAAGAGCTTGTTAGATATCAGACCGAGTTTCATTTCTGTTTGTTTTGCTGTTATAATATAGATACTACTGGTATTTACAGTTTTGTTAATGAACATGAAGTATTTTAGTGGGAGATTGATATGGGATTTGGGGATATAAAGTAGGTTGTAGATTTCTTAGAAGAATATGGTAATTTGCAGAGAAGGAAGTTCTAAATACATTCATAATTCTTTAAGTGTTTCTTTTGCACCAGGATCTGGATGGTGAAACTTGATATTCTAGTACCAAACATCACTCCTATAAGCCTGTTTCCTCTCTAAGATATATGCAGTATATTTTCCTTAGTTGTTTGGCCTACACAAGGGCTAAAAACTTATTTCTGTTAATGAAAGTAGAAGTTCTAAAAAATTGCTTGTGATCTAGATATTTATCATACTTCTAATCCTTGCATGGGACTTTAGATCAGTGATAATGGTATTCAAGCACTATAGATATGAAATTATCTGTTGCTGAAATCAATGCAAGGCTAGTTCCCCATTAACTAGAAAAGCTGGTGCGGTTGCGTTCTTGTTGAACTCATAGTACTATTACATTTCTGTTTTACTAGATCTTCCTTCATAAAGTTATATAAAGGTCTAGCCACTCAGTGTCCCAGCAGCGGACAAGCAGCATCTCCAACACCAAGTGCAACTTCCTTTCACAATAGTGGAATCCATTCTGAAGAGACAGTACATCTATTCCCATCAACCTCTGTTTCTGGAACAACTGCTATGTGAGTACAAAGATAGCATCAGAAGATACTAATTCAGGAATATACATTATAGCATAATGTATATTCAGCGTCTTTGTTCTTATTCTTGTCTATTCTTATGTTTTGCAAACTTTTTGGTGCAATATATTTCACAAATCTTTCAGATTTTGTTCACATAGATAACTCAAACTAAGATAGTAAAAAGAAATGTACATGATTCTCCAAATCCTTGTGAATTATTCATATTAGAAAATAAATATTAGCAAGTTACTTGAGGGGAAGCACTTAATTTACTTGAATGGCAAGGGACTCCCAAAAAATTGGTAACCCAATCATCCAAAGAGGAGTTTTCATCTCTGTTGGGGGAAAGGGGGAAGGCTGTGTTTGCTTAATCTTGTTTACCTGTATTCTCTTACTACTCCTTTAAGGCATTTGATGTCACACATAAAAAAAGGTCAACAAGAAATGGCAAACATCCCAGGGAAACCATGTGAGTGGGAAGCTGATGGAAGAAAGCATGGCAGACCAGAGAGTGCTTTAATTCCATCTCAATTCAATGAAGAGGACTTGAAGGCTCTGGCGGCTTCTCTGCAGCCTGTCCCAGATAAGGAGTTCAATGCTGCTTCATCGGATATGAAAGAAAACCTGGAGAAGTCTCACAAAGCTACTGTGGAGCTTCTGCAAGACAGCAGAAGCTTTACTCCTGATTTTGAAGATTTTGAATACCAAGGGAATACATATTCCATTCCTGGACTCTATGAGAAAGAGCCTCTGGCTATCCTTCAGACTAGCTCACCAGCCTCTTCTGAATCTAGCATTGACATCTGCTTCTTGCGACCTGTGAACTTCACAAAGGAACCAGAGAAGGCACAGCGCACTTTGCAACCGCTTCCCAAGAGCAGCGATCTAGAGCACATTGGTAGCAGCACCTCCAAGCGTGAGGCTTTTCGGAGCAAGGGCAAACAACTGAGTCAGTCCTTGAAGGAGTTTCCCCGGAGTGGGTCTGAAGGCATCAGCACAAGGCTATATAGCACAAGGAGCAGCAGTGGGAGTCGGCTGTCCAACTTGCAGGAGAGAGGCTTCCAGCCCCATGAGGCCTCTGCCCCCTCCAGGAGCTCCCATTGGAACTACTTTCCTCCACAGCGAGGAGTGGGTGAAAAACAAAGCTTTGTAGAAGTAAGGAGAGCAAAAGGCCAGGGCAAACCCACTTCCCACCAGGGTCTGAGAAACACGTAAGCGGGCTACTGACTCAAAGGCAAAGACGGGAGGGGTCAGGGCTGTATCCCACAGGGATATCATTCAGTTAGTCCCTTTGGCTAGTAGTTGCATGAACCCTGTGTTTGGAGTATTAGTTGAAAGCACTCTCCAGAGTATCTTCCTGCCTCTGTCTAGATCAGAAGCGTCCAACCATAACAACTTTAAGATTTAAGGACTTCAACCCCCAGAACAACCCATCTCCCTCATGCTGGTTGGGGAATTCTAGGAATTGAAGTCCACAAGACTTAAGGTTGGACACCCATTTGCTAGAAGATAATGCTTGTTTGTTTTAAAATGCCAAATTAAAGAATGTTTCTAATTCCTTGAATAGTATAGACAATAATGGAGAGAGTACTTCACACAACACCTTATATGTGATAAACTGTGGTTTAGTGATTTAATCTAATAGTTTGCATCTTCATGACAAAGTTAACCATGTTTGAATGCACATAGTACAAGATGAGAAAATATGATTGGCTAATTTATATCTCTATGTGTCTTGAATACAGACTGGGACACCATGACAACCCAAAATTAGCATTAATAAGAATTGAGAAAGAATTAAGAAAGAGATGGCTACAAATTAGTTGTACTGTTCTATTTTACGTAGGCTCTTCTAAGGATTTGCTGCTTTAAGATTGATCTTAGTCTGCTACAAACATCAGCCATGCCTTGACAAATCATTTGCCTTAGCTTAGATGCTCCTTGCTACTGAGCCAGGTGTTTACTGTGACATTGAGGTGAGCCTTTCTAAATCAGATGATTAGATTATAAAGATGAAAAGTTAATAATAGTAGTAACTATTATTAACTATCAAGGAACTATTAATAATAATTCCAGGGTTGTGCATGCTTTAGAATATATATGCAGACAGATACACCTGATTCCTGCCTGCTTTCCTGCTAGAAATGCAGGAAGCAATCTTGTAAGGAGAGGATAAACTTTGCTGCTCTTGATGAAACAGGCTTTTAAGAAGCAATTCCTAGTCTTTCAACTGGATTTGGTTCCTATGACCCTTTTTTAGGAACATTGACAATTGCAGTTGCACTAGTCTATAACGGACTGTTCTTCAGCCCATCTTATCCAAATCCTCAAATATTGGTTTCTTGTGATGTGTAGCAGTCTTCATTGTGCCATGTGGGCTCCTGGGAACTGTGATTTGCCAGCATATATAGAGTAAAAGGTTTCCTACTCTTACTTCATAAATTTCAAAACAAACATTAAAGGTTTCCTACAGAGGTTTATTTTCTCAATTACTTTTGTTCCATTGAATGAGAATATTTTTTTTTTCCTTTTTCAGGATATGCATTTAGAAGATATCCGATTCTCTTGCAGAGATGACAATGAACAAACATCTTTCAGCAGTCATCCACCACGGCAAGAACAAAAAAGAGGCTTCCGCAGTTCCTTTCGCAAACTTTTCAAAAAGAAATGAGTTATTCAAAGAAAAATAAATTTGCCAACATTTATTTACTCCTGTAATGCAGAAGTAAGGGCTACCTAGTATTGCATTAACATTCGTGCTAGTTTATTGGTTCTGAATTGTTAATGCAAAATCTTAGAGAATTGTGGGCTGTCACAACTTTTGGCAACTAAACTTCAGGCAGGATTTACCTTGCATGCTATACAAGAGCTACAGTGTGTAAAAGTGCATGTTATACAGATTTGGTTCTATATCATCTTTAAATCAATCATTCAAGATGGTTATTCAGTGCTCCTATATGAACTGGTTCCATAGGAAACTTTCTGTGTCTCCAAATATTCATCAGCTCATCAATGGACATCTCCTTCCATTATCCATTTTTAATAGTGTGAAAAATGTAGCATAATTCTTGATTGATCTATCTCTAACAGATCAGTTCGCCTCTTAAGAGTATCTTAAGATACCATTTAACCCAGATACATATACATATACACACATACACATTTTAAATTGGTATAGATTATATTTTACTTCAAATTATGTTTTAGGTGATTATTGCTTGCATCTTGCTTCAAATGAAATTGAATTCAACTGAGTATTGTTTGTGTGATTGTCTCATTATTAGTCTTTTATAACTTAAAGACTAATTATGAGACAAAAATCCAAACCACCTAATCATGATTGAATGCTTATACAATGGATAGTGAAAGCTGGAGTAGTTTTAAAAAAGTGGGAAATATGGAAAAAACAGTTCAATATCTTTCTGGAACTAATAACCAATAATATATTCACCAGAAACATTTAATCAGGAAGAAGTAATTTGCTGCTCATCTAGAAAACGGGGGTAACAATCAGGATTATCCTTTCAGAATATAATATTAAAACTCCAAATCATAGATAGAAGTAATTCTCTACAGGAATGAAAATATTTTATTTACTTAATTTATTAAATGTATGTGCTGCCTAGAGACAACATTATTTAATATTTAAATACCAGGATTGTGGTAGTAAGTGCAAAGCAAACAAAAGTACAACAGATTGAATCATTTAACTGCATTTTTACATTGAGTAGTGAGTGGCCTTTAGTTCTGCAGACTTAACATGTTTGCTTTTCATATAATTAAAATCTAGCACAGGGGTGTCAAACTCGCTTTAGGCCACGCCTACCCCCGGTTTAGCAAAGGGGAAAAAACTCACGATACGTTACGTGACAAAAACGTGACACTGTGAGTTTGACACCCCAATGTAGCACATTTTCCTATAGCCAATTTAATTTCACTGCTTGAATTGGATTTGACATCAACAAAAGCTCTCTTCAAATTAAGACCAAATAGGAATGAATGAATGGAAGAATTGGACTATGTATTAGGTCTGGGGCAATAGGCTATATTCAACTACAGAATTCACATCTAATAGATTCTGTATTAGATAGATCAGAGTTCCCTAACCTTTCGGGCTTTACGGACTGGGGGAGGGAGAGGGAATTATTCTGCAGAACTGATGGGCAAGTGTGCATGCGCGCAGCTGCATTTGTCCGAGTAACAGGCATGTGTGCTTGCCCGCTGCACACGCAAGTTAGGATGCGCGTGTGCATGTCCACCCCTCCCATGGCCCGGTTCTGAATAGTTCAAGACCCATTGGGCTGTGGCCTGGGGACCCCTATATAGTTCACCTATATAACGTATGCATTCTCACATGATGCTAAAACAGAGTGATTGTTTGCTTTTGGTTTAGCCAATTGTGATGTGTGAATGTACTAATAAGTTGTAACATTCTATACCCATTCTAATATTATACTCTTTATTAAACAACACTATGAATTGAATAAAAAAATACAGGTAGTCCTTGATTTACAACAGTTCATTTAAAGTTACACCACCATTGAAATAAGTGATTTATGACCATTTTTCACATGACCTTTGCAGCATCCCTGGGGTCATGTGATCAAAATTCAGACATTTGGCAACTGACACATATTTACACCGGTTGCAGTGTTCCAGGGTCATGTGATCACCTTTTGCAACCTCCTGACAAGCCAAGTCAATGAGGAAGTCAAATTCACTTAACAACTGTGTTACTAACTTTACAACTGCAGTGATTCACTTAACAACTGTGGCAAGAAAGGTCATAAAATGGGGCAAAATTAACTTAATAAATGTCTCACTTAGCAATGGAAATCTTGGGCTCAATTGTGGTCATAAGTCGAGGACCACCTGTATGGTAGCTTGAAAATCTAAATGATCATATATAGAGAAATATAGCACTTATGGAATATGTAAGGCCTTTTTATTTAAGAACAGATCTCGAGTGCCAAAAAATAACAGCCACTATTAATTTTTAGTTTAAATGCAATCTGAATACCATTGCAGACATAGCATACAAAGCACCTATAGACATGAAAAGGTACACACAGACTCATAAAATTTGCCAGTTTAGCTATTACCATTTCAAACTTACAGAGCTAAATTGGACTGCCATTGTATTTTAACAATTTAGCAATGCATCCACAGCATTTAAAAAAGGCAATACATTTTCAAATATATTAAGTTATCAGAATTAATCAAAAACAAACCTGTACATAGGGAACAAGAACTGGCCAAATTAAAAATGTAACCTGAAAAATAAGATCCTGTCCAATGAGAGAATCTACTTTTAGAAAGAAAAAACTTTTTAAAAGGCACATTTGGCAGCTACTGAAAGTTGCATACATCTGGCACAAGATTCATTTTTCATTTCAGCTGTCTAGATGATGGAATTTACAAAGATTGTTCAATGTTACAGCACCCAATTCCTTAACTAATTTTGCATTCAAAGACAAAGGGAATGGACTTCAACTTTAAAACCGTACCTATCACTTATTTTAAAAAACACCCTGTGTTTTTGATTTTGAATCATAATCAGCAGTGATCCTACAATTTGCTTTATTTTCAAAAATATGGGAGTGATTATTAGTAATTTGAAAAGCAATTTATAACAATTGTGTGAAAGTTAATTCTTATGACAGGCCAGCATCTGAACTAGATCTTACACTGTGTTGAGAGAAGATCCCTGGAGTCAGTTAATTGAGCTTTCCTCGCTATTAAAAATAAAACTTCAGAAAAAATGTTCCCTAATTAAAATTTTAGAACAAGGATTTCATGCATGTGTTTCTGTCCCCATTAGTGTGGTGTAATTTATGAGGGAACAATGATAGGCTACTTCCCTAAGCCATACTAAATGTAACAGGAACAGCTAACTCACTAACCCCTTTAGCAGAATTCCCACAGGTACCAATTCTATCTTCTCCTATTGATGGCATTTTCAAGGAACTAGCGGGGAAAGTAGGCTACAGAATCCATGTGTGTATGCACTGGATACTGGGTGTTGTGAAGTATTACAGAACAGAAGCTGCTGGATTATAAAAATGAAGTTTTCAATCAAAAACCCAATTCCAGGAAAAGCAGCCTGACTTAAAGATGGCAAAAGTATACAAAAGCAAACAATACCATGCATAAAAATAACACACATTTATAGAACGCTTGATGAAACATGGCAATAGATTACTTAGATTTGCAGGATTTCTTTCTTTTTGTACTGATCATAGTAAAAGATTTCCCTTTTGACAACAAATTTGGTGAAACAGCTTTCTCTGATCAGAAAAGTACTTGCTTATGTACATTTTCCTAACCCTTTAACAATTTCATGGAAAAGATTCTCTTTCTCTCTCACACAATTTTTAAAAAAGCTCTTCTACACTATCAAACCCTCACGACCGCAATTATACACACACACATACAAGGGACAATAAGAGGGGCCTAAGGTAAAAGTGCTGCAAATGGAGCACATTTTACCATTACGGTGATACTACTAAACAATACAATTGGGTTTGAGGGAATTATGATTTTGCATTTTTAAAGTATTGAATTACCTTTATACAGAAATATAAATATCTTCCGTCATTGTGGTAAAGAATCTAAAACCTTCACAATATCAACATCTCTTGTTAAATCAATTCATTTAATATTTCAACAGCTGACCGCGATTAAGCGAAGTAATCTTAAAGGCAGCTGTAATAAAATTTTGCTGGGGGTCTCTTTTCATTTAAGGCAAAGTTAGATTTGCTTATGAAATTACTATTTAAAAATGTTAAATTAGCAAATGTGTACTCTAGTCTCTTCCTGAATTTCAGACTGCTTGATCAGGAAAATTGTTTCTCAGAGTGGCAGGCAGAAGCAGGAAAATTTGCAGCTATCCTCTACTTTGCTCAAGTTCGAGTGAGTAAGTATCATACAATATTTAAAGTTCTTAAGGGATGGCACTGTTACCATTATACAAATGAAAATGGGTTTAACTGGGGCCCTGTTTATGAGTTTTTTCATTATGAATTGGAATTATTTCTGAAATATTTTCAACTGCATCCCCACTCAACCGTTCTTATAGTCTTAATATTACTTTTCCCCAGAATACTCTTTTGATTCTCATATTATGAGCATAAAGTTCAAAAGGATTCTTTTAAGATAAATTTAATTATTTCCTGAAATGCAAAGACCATAGTCTGCAACTGGGAAAATTTATTATAGCAGTAGACTCCCACAATGACACAGACTTTAAACATTATTCCAATGGCATGGAAATAGAGAAAACATTCAACTAAGCATATATACTGCACCATTCACAACTCCTAAGGTAGCAAGAAGATTGAAATCTTCAGTAAATGGCCTATATCACAATCACAGTATGGGGATCAGAAGCTTATAGGTTCATAGGTCTAATGTTTATCCAAAACCAGATATTGTACTGTATTCACATAAATTTCCCGACATAGTAAATGCCAACTTCAAACTTTGAAAAGTTAAGAGATTACAATATTATATGCATGAATCAATTAATCATGCCAACTCACCTGGATTTGTAATTCAATATCTTGGGATTTCTTCTGGGATTATCCTTTGTAAACTAAAACAATGATCTAGAAACAGAGATGTGTGTACCACAGCATGTCTCACCTCCTCAGGGCTAAAAACTGAAATGTATATTTAGCAATGCAATAATTTAATATATGTCAGCCAGACAAAATATCTGTGTCTTTATTTCAATTAAATTAAAAACAATTTGCAATTATATTTATGCAACATTCACTATATACATATGATTTATTTATGCAACTACAAGGCATAAATTGATACTGATTATTCATCTACCTACCACTAGTTAAAACAAGGGGATAACTAGGGATTGGGTGGGAGAGATGGCCAGAGGATCATTTTTTTGCATTTCCATGGCATAATCAGAGACTGCAGCACTACCTGGAAAGTTGATCATTGGTAAATCTTAATTGAAGACCTAGTCAATGTTTACCCATGTAGATATGGATTTAAGTGACAGTAGTAGTGCCATTTCAAAGTATTTAAGAAATTTAAGCCTGCCCACTTTCAAAGCGACTCTGGGCAGCTTACATTAAAAAATAAGAAACTATAAAAAGATCCCATGTG